ACACAAATGAAGATCTGCTGCGGTTCTGATGCCTTTACCAAACATCATGACTATGACGAGAAAAAACAGGTATACTTGAGCATTCTGTCCTTTATAGGGTCACATCTTGTGACATCATGTCCTGTTTTCGGTTCGTTTACATGTCTATATGGTTACATGGTCCGTGTTGAGACCAAGGGTCCTTACTCTGTAAAAAATGAAACTAAAGAGGAACATAACCACTGGTAACATGGTACGCTGACAGTTAAAACAAATTCGCCTTTGGCTAAGCCACACCCTAGAATGTAGATTGACCAATCACAGCACAGCCAAGAACGAGCTCCCACAGAGGTCCGACACTTTTTATAGCGCTCCATTGGCTTTAACACAGGCGTCTCATATTTTTGGTCTCGGCAGGCTATTACCGTCGTAGTTTTATCAAAAATATGGTTAAACGTTGTGCCTGGGGCATTTGTAACACAAATACGCGTTCCCCAGAGAGGTTGGAGGGGGATGTCTGTTTTTTTCCCTTTCCAAAACCGAAGTCAAATCCTGACAAGTGTCGTCTAGAACACGCTGCTAATAAATAACGTTACAACGTTGTACTCGCGTAGTCCGTTTGCTTTGTAATAACGATTATAGAAGTGAATAGAGACCTACCCAGCTTTGCATGAACAGTGTTGCTCATTGATAATGTTAGTCCCAGCCTCCGTCTCGATTAGTAGGATATGCGGTGGTTCATTTTTTTGACTGTGACCGATATGCTTTGCTTTTGCCTCTATTTGGATGCCTTGTTGTTCCTTGCGTTTCACCTGTATGTCGTGAATATAGCCTTCGAACGTATATTGCAGCCCCTTTTGCCTACTTCTATCGGACAATTTATTTGCTGCTTTATAAAAGTTTGATCAAATTTCAGCAGGAAGAGCTGTCACAGCATAAGCCATGTTGATACCAGAGCCCAGATGAAGTTTGTTTGTCGGACGTAGCAACAGTAACTAAGGGGGGCGGGGCTTAGCCAAAGGCGAATTGATCATGGCACCATGAGAACAAAAAGCCACCATCAGCCCAGCCTGTCTATGTGCCCTCAGTTAAACCCTGGCCAAGGCTGTGCCCACAGCTCCATGACTGTGCAATTTCTCCACAGCAAGACACAGTAGGCAGAAATCACTTACCTTGATATTATCAACAATGATCAAAAAAATCTTTTAAAAAAGGCATTGATTAAATCACTAGTGAACTAACAACTAATGCTATTTACCTTGAGCATTAAAGCTTCATCCACATAGGATTACAAATAGGCCACTTAGATCCTCTACTATTACATTGGTCATTTTAGCATCAACATTTTACACTAAGACAAGATCACAGTCTCAGTAAAATTTAATTACAATTAATCTACACAGGGGCTTTAGATACAACTCACATATGTCAGCTCAAAAGCACTGTGTCTATAAAACACCCAAAATTCAGCATTAATAATATTAAGAATGACATTAGATGCTGCAGAGCTGAAACCTAGTCTTGTGAATAATTCTGTATAAAATTGCATTTATTGATGCATTTATTGATCCATTTATTGTCAGATGCACCATAAAATCGTAATTTATGCCTTGAAAATTCCTCGTAACTGAAAAGCTGTATCTGAAAGTAAACAATATGCTTTGCCTTTTTTTTAAATGAAAATAACGGAAATATAGCAAGTCTATAAACTTTTTGGTTTATAGTCTTGTATGCTCACCAAGGTTGCATTTATTTAAACGAAAATACAGTTTTCTATTTGAATATATTTTAAAATGCAATTTATTCATCTGATTTCAAAGCTGAATTTTCAGCATCATTACTCCAGTCTTCAGTGTCACATTCTTAAGAAATTATTCTAATATGCTGATTTGGGGCTCAAGAAATATTTACTATTAATATTATCAATGTTGAAAACAGTTGTGCTGCTTAATATTTTTAGTGAAAACAGTAATACTAGAATAGAAATTTCAAAAGAACACCATTTATAAAAAATCTTTACTGTCACTTTTGATCAATATTTAATGCAACCTTGCTGAATAAGTTTTCATTTCTTTAAAAAGAATTACTATTTTGGATGGATCTTTATCCTCAGTCCTTTTTGAATAATAAAGTCACCATAGCACTTACCAGAGGCCCCCATAGGAGAAGTGGCAGGGGTGACCATTTGGGCATTTAGGCCGAGAGAGTGAGATGGAGCTGGTGGGACAGGCTGCGATGAAGCCCCAGATGGCCCTGGCAAGGGTCCTGGAGGAGTCTCTCTCTGTGGGGATGTCAAGGGGGTGCTCAGGGGGGTGCTGGGCTGTGATGTGGGTCCTCCGGCTAACCGAGCCAGCCGCCTTCTTCGGATCTAAACAAGATAGAGTAAATTACAATTGAATCTAATTACAGATCAATAATGAGCAAAAGTTTGAAATCTGACCTCAACTGCTTTTAGTTGGTAAACAACACAAGGGCATATCTTTAAAAGCAAAGAGGGAATTTCTCTTACACACATGCTTTTGAGGCAAACAGCAGTATTTTTTTAACGTGCTAATGCTAAAGCATCGCCAGTATTTACAGCAGTGAAGAATCATCACTACACAGTGGAGTGAGTCATACGAGCTGGAGAAGGCAAACTAAAGGCCTCGGCTTCTACATCAAGTAGTCAGTGAAATGGCAAAGACATATACATAACTGAATGGATCAAGATTGCCAAAGATGATGCATCTCAGTTCACAGACGTATACAGCTTTTGCAAATTACATTGAATTGTATACCATTTCATATTTATGTGAGCTAAAATACAGAATAAATGCAATTATTAATCAATACAGCAACTTATTTTGAAAATAAAAAGTTCCAAGGTAAGTGGTTGACATCTACTAATTAAATTCAGTTCACAGACATAATGTTTTTGCAAATTACATTGAATTGTATCTTATTTCATATTTATGTGAGCTAAAATACAGAATAAATGCAATTATTATTAATCAATACAGCAACTTATTTTGAACATTAATGGTAAATGGTTGACATCTATTTTAGATGAATTTAGTATGAATTTAGTATGAATTTAACAATGTAAGAACAATTTTAGAGAATAAATCTTTTTAATCTATTTCATGATTATTATTTAAGCCAACTCCAAGCTACTCCCAGCCTGACCAGTTCAAAAGTGCCTAAAACCCATGAAAACCAGTCTGACCTGACTGGGAGACCAGCAAACCAGCTTAGGGTGGTTTAAGATGTTTTTGTAGGTCATAGCTGGGCAGAGTTTGGTCTTAATTTACAGCAGAACAACCAAACACAAAGCACTGACTGAAATGCACACCAGTGTCATAGAGCAGCAACAACCAATGCCAAATAGCAATATCCAAAACCTGAAACAAAGAGCTCTATTGGTTAAAATGCACTTAAAATATACCAAATTATCATAAAATACTAGGTTTTTCTTCAGGTTAAACCAAAGGTTGTATGCTTCATTAGTTTCCCCCATTATAAATATACCGACCTGACGCCTGACAATAGCTTGTTGCGCATGATTTCAGTTTCTAAACCAGACACCATTCAACCAAATGCATAGCTTTGGCAAAGTTAACCTCTATAATTACATATTTTATCACGACTTTAAATTTAAAAACTTAAATTGATCAAATATCTGGTACAACATGATTTTATTTCTTCACACGACAGTCTTTCAGCCATTTTGGATTCCCAGTGAAGAAAAGCTTCACAAAAGAAATCTTAACTTGTCAACTGGTTACAAGCTCCCCAGCGACTAAAAACGATAAGGATGATATTTTAAATGTCAAATGAAAAAATAATAAGAAAAAGACAGATTGTCTAAGCTTGTGTCAGATCTAGTTTATTACATTTATCACCAGCTTGCGAGCTGACTGGAAATAACCTTATTCTCGTTTAATTCCACGTATATATCGGCACTTAAGTGGCTAGAAATTACGATTTAACATCTAGCCTCATATTTCTGTGCGGAATACGTTTGATCTGGATATACTGAGCAGTTGATTAGCCTGTGTCGTTAGCTTATCCCATCATTACTGCGATTGAAAAAGGTGACAATGACAAGTCAATAAGCCTTTAATAAAACACAAAAACATAACAGTCCTGACATCACATGAGCGGTTTCGACTAGAATTACACTAAACTGTGTGAAAATAGCCTTACCTCTTCAGGACTGAGCTGCTCCATTGCCTTTCTTTTAATGTTCACCTTAATTATGTTGCTAGCCAGTCAGCTAGCTTCCTTATAAACACCAAAAGTGCATAGTCTGAACCATAAAACAAATATCAATAAGCTGTGATTGTCTTATACAGATCTTTATATTAAAAATTCAAGCGCGCGTGGCTGATATTTTACGATCGGGAAGCGTTATCTTCGGTTTCTTTTAAGAATGAAACAAACACAAAAGTATTATTCGTCAAAACACCGACGCGGCCATTTTGGATCTGGAATCACGTGACGTGAGATCGACACATTCCATGCTGCGGCAGTTCTGGAAACTGATTTTACTGCTAAGGTTTTCTTCAAAACCAATCTCAAGAGACTTGTTTTCTTCAGTACCAATTCTAATTGGGTTAAATGGATGGAAACGCATATAGTTATTATATATCTTAAAATTATTAATCATTACAATAATTTCACATTTGAACAAATAATAACTAAATAAATATATTGCATCATTTGGATTTGCGAGATTATTATTCTCTACATATATTTATCTGTTTCTTTACAAACTTACAAAGTTTACCATCATTCTGATTAGTTTGTTGACTGATCATCCCCAAGATGAGACGCCATAAACCAGAAAGATTACAAATCAGCATTGTGTTCACAAAGTGTCTATTATAATCTGTTTAAAGTATTACTGAATGATAATATTTTCCGTTGATTGAATTGATGATTATTATTATAATTTGTTGTTTTTGATTGCAATTTTTCATGATAGAGACATTACAACCTATAGTGGAAAATAACACACAAAGTTATAACTTGTTTCAAATTTTATTGCACAATAAGTGACTTTCAAGTAACAGAACTGAACAAGCTGTTACATTTAAGAAATTGAATTAACAAAAGTGTGTATATTTATCATAAAATATACATAAACAAAAAAAAAGCTTAATAAGCTTTTATTTTAAGAAAAAAAATCCGTTTTACAAAACGTTTTTAAAAATGTATTCAAAATGAATGGCCCTTGATTAGTCATATTCTTGTGAAAGAATGATTCTGGCTTGCGAGAAAAACAGAAGTAGCCTACATTACACATTACTAAATGTGAGTGAATGTGTCTCTTGTATTACATGTAAACATGATTAGGCAATGGTGGCACAACTATTGACAACATGCAGCGAGTGTCTCCAGTGCCTAAACTGCTGTTGTCCCGAGTTCGGTCTGTTCGTGGTCTTATTGCGCCCTCTAGTGGCACTATAAATCATGCTCCTAGACATCCTGCCTCAGTCTGCAAGCCTCTCGCTCCTTGTAATTGATTAGTCAGGTTTTGAGGCACAAGTTGAAACGCTTGGTTCTTGTTCTCGCCTCATAATCCTCTGACTTAGAAGTGTGAACAACTTTGTTTACAGCATTGCGCCTTTTCAAGTAGTAAACGTCACCGCAGGACCTCAGATAACCCGTTTGAAAACTTGCTTGCAGATTTGATCTTCACAGTGCAACTCCTGTAAAAGGTTGATAGGTCTGATTATTACTCTAGTGGGTTAATGAATGAAATCAGCTCATAAATGTTTATTGCAGAAGTGTATAGTGTAAGATGCTTAATTTCACACTTACCAAATGGAGTTTGTCATCCTCGATCCAGTGTCTCCAACCTCTGTTCTTCTTCTCACCCTTTTGAATGCACACCAACTTGTTCCCCTCCCAGGCCACCAGAGACTAGACAAATAGATATGTTTAATTTTCAAACAGTGCATTAAGTGTTTCCCCCATATTGTGTGCTGAGCAAATATTTGTGTTCAAACTGACTAAAAATAATGATGAAAGTGGGATGTTGGTGTTCAGGTGCTGTAAGAATGTAACATTTCTTCTACAATGAAATGTCATACAAATAAAGACAATAAATAATCTACTAGGCTACTTACTAGTAAAAAAAAAAATAAAAAAAAATAATGCATAATTCCAAGCAACTATCCCTAAACCAAACCCTAATCCTAAACATAACCCAAAGTAGGCCTATGTTAATTAATGTACTTATTTGTGTAATTACACTGTAACAAGGACACCTTAAAATAAAGTGTGATGATGATGATAGATAGATAGATAGATAGATAGATAGATAGATAGATAGATAGATAGATAGATAGATAGATAGATAGATAATCTAAATAGATAGATAGATCGATAGATCGATAGATAGATAGATAGATAGATAGATAGATAGATAGATAGATAGATAGATAGATAGATAGATAGATAGATAGATAGATAGATAGATAGATAGATAGATAGATAGATAGATAGATAGATAGATAGATAGATAGATAGATAGATAGATAGATAGATATTTGTTTTAAAATAATAAATCTTTGTAATACCTTGCAGTGTCTGTCATCCATTCCCTTGGTGAACTCGTGAAACTCCTCATTGACTCTGAAGGAGAAAGTGTAGTTTCTGAAAGTGCTGATAGTCTTCACAACATATCGATCCCCCACCTGCTCGATTACTTTGCGAAGTTTTAGCTTAAGGGCGATCTTACGGGTGTACATGCCGATCCCTGTGAGATGACAAAGTTTAGGATCTATTACTCCTGACATACATTAAATAGCCAACAAATGGGAATGCTTTGCACATTGTATATAATATAATATAATATAATATAATATAATATAATATAATATAATAATATAATATAATATAATATAATATAATATAATATAATATAATATAATATAATATAATATAATATAATATAATATAATATAATAGTTGTGAAAATATTACACTAGCTATGTCAATTTAAGGAACAGACATAAGAGCAATCTTACCTAAAGCAATCATGAATCCCTCAAAGTTGACATTGCTGACCATGTCCCATGTACCACAGAGGCTTACAGGCATTTTGTTAACCGTCTGCAAACTATCCCAGTAGAATACCTTTTATCAGAGCCATGGCCTTTTATGTGTTGTGAGCTGAGTGGGCGGTCCTTCTTTCTGATTTACATGTCTTTGTTTCTTCACAGTAGTTCAGGCTGTACCTCATCATGCCTTACATAAAGAAAAACGTGTCTGGCCGGTGTTTGTGTGCTAATAGTTTGCCCAAAAAAGACTTGATCACAAAAATACCTGTTCAGACGCTTAGTTAGGCTATAAAAATGTTTTATTTTTTAACTTTAAAAATATTAATGTTCACAATGCAATCAACTTTACTTTCGTCAAGTTCACTCGCATTGTCTTCCTTGTATCTTGTGGAATTTTTTTTTTTTTGGAAAAAATTCTTAGCAGTTTTTTTTTTTTTTTTCATTTCTGTCAAAAAATACGACATCATAATCACATGACCACCACAAAACAAAACATCACTTACGCACGTCAAGTTACTGTGAGTTTTTTAAAGGAAGACGATAAATAGGCCATAGAGACAGAAACTTCTACTATTGAGCATGTGATGAATATGTGTTAATTAAAATTGAATCAAGCGGCATTATGTGGATGAAATAAATGCACTTAAAAAGTAACCGATTATTTATTGTTACACAATCAGACCTCATTTTAAAACCACGATTGATTGAACAAATCTGATCACAATAAACAAAACTACAAGGTATCAAATGTGACTTGAAAGGGAATGTTGCATGATATGCTAAGATGTTTTGATTATATGCAAATGTACCTAATCAATAAAAGTGACAGACACAATCAGTGAGAGAACCAGGGAAACTCAAGTCTTTTTAAAGTTTACTATTTCTAAATCTTAGCGGGTCACGAGGACAAGACAAGTGTCCGAGGGTGAATGTAGATGCGGATATGATCTTATTCTTAACAGAAAACAAACAACTTCACTATACATGGCCGAAAATCAACTAAAAGGAATTGCTGTAGTAGTCACGTTATTCCTGGCAGGGACTTCCCACATTTCTGCAGTATATGTTTGGTATAAGATAGGATTTTCATATATTAGCACTGATGGTCTGCAGATTAAGATCATACTTGTTCTGCAACTACAAAAAAATCCCCAAAAAACATGCAAGAGCACTTCACTGTCAAATTGTTGTACTCTACATGTCAAGATCTCAACACTGAATACTTTGATTTAAAAAAAAAAAAGTCTGATGTTTAAATGCTTAGGCAAATGTTCTCACCTGTTCTAAAATTGAAAAAAACAAAATCTCTTTATTTAAAAAATCAAAACATATTCAAATCAAATAATATTTCACAAAATGCATCATTCATTATTGACCATAATAATTTACTGCAATTTGCTCATTAGCCAAATGTGTTCAAGAAAGCAAAAAGCACTATAAATCAAGTGTCGATCACGCGATCAAAGACCCCAAACAGAACAAGAGTCTAGCTCAAAAGCAGCAGAACATCAGTCTAGTTAGTGCTGGTGTATCTCTGAAGAGGGGCGAGGATGACATCAGTATTCTTCTGCTCACTCTCAGCGCTATACAGACTGTGATCCTGAATATAGCGCACCACAGGGTCGGGCAGCAAGTAGCGCACGCTCTGTCCTCTGCGCAGGGCACGGCGCACATGGGTAGCTGAGATCTCGTTGGTCACCCATTCTCGGACAACATGGATGTTCTTTCGGTGTTCGTACAGCACATCAGACTGATTGATAAACTTCTCAGCGTCATTGCCACATCTTGTGATGCACACCACACCGTACTTTCCCACAATCTCCTCAATGTCCTCTGGCTTCCAAAGGTTGGGGACACCAAATGACTCCAGCACATCAGCACCACATAGCAGCTTCAGATGAGGGGTGTCTAAAATATACATTTATGAGAATAATACACATCATTAGTGATTTTGACAGCTGTAATTATAACAGATCTTAAAAGTCATGATTCATTTGAAATATGTGCTCCTTTCCAAAGCCATATGGGCAAGCCAATGCTATAAGTTAATTATGGTATGGTCAGGCTGTTCTGCAACTAAATATTAAACATGAAGACATAGAGACTTTTATTCAGCAAGGATTCATCAACTCAATAAAAAGTGACAGTAAAGACATTTATAACGATACAAAAGAAGATTTCTATTTCAAATAAATGCTCTACTTTTGGACTTTCTATTCATTAAAGAATTCTGGAAAAAATGTGCCATGGTTTCCACAAAAATATTTTTAATGATAATAATTAAGCTGAACATTCAGATTTGCCATATTAAAATAAAACAAACAATTAAAATGAAATTAAATTGTAATAATACAATTTTACTGTATTTTTTTATCAAAAAAGAGAAAGAAAGAGAAACCTTATGGATTTGCATACATTTACTTTTTCTCTAGAGTTTTATTTTTCCTATTTTTGCCCTAAATAGGGTGTTGTGAGCATTATTGAGTACACTACACACTTGTGATGTAAAGTCTGTTTCATTCATACTCGTAGCCAGAGGGCGCCCTCACGCAGAAAGCCCAGAAGTGAGACCCATAAAGTCATAAAACTTATGATGTTTCAGGAAATCCCTTAAATGGACAAAGTCATAAAATCGCACACTTCCCTACTATATAGTAGGCGAAAAACAGTATGTGTCAAAAGAAGTATGTCCGAATTCACAGTGCTCATAAAAGAGTAGACAAAAGTACCCCGATGACCTACTACTTCCGGCGACATTCTGAAGTGTGCAAATGATGGACACTTTACAATCCCATGAGGCCACGGGACGGGAGAAGATTTATAAATGCCAATGAAGCGAAGATAACTGACGCTGCTAGGTCACATGATAATGACAACATGGCGAATATAGTACGCCTGGATTACATTCATACTACAAAAACTTGTACTATATAGAACATACTTTTTTAGTGGCCGTGACGTAATTACTTATTCAAAATAAGTACCTACTCAAGAGAGTATGCGATTTCAGACACAGCCATCCAGATATCGCTGCAGCAGAATAAAAAATGCAGATAAAGATGTATTGACTGATGAAACATAAAGACAATAAACATACGACTGCGACAATATATGGTTTATCTGTGTTCTTCACGCCACCTGGGTTATTTTCATAATAATAAAGTATATTTAAATGCAATGCTAATTGACATTGCCTTTTTTCACTATATAAAATATTAAAAAATAATATATTTTATGAAGCCATGTCAGATCACAAAAGGAAGTTATTTCAGTTACTAAAGTTTGGAGTAAAAACAAATGTTCTCTTTTGTTGGGTAACAGGTTTGTAAACAAAGTTTGGAAAGATGTTCGGCGCATGTTGCTTTTGCAAAAAATTTGGTGCCCACTACAAAACTAAAATCTAGAGGGAAACACTGCTCTGCTCTCAACAAGCATTTGACCTGTTTCTCTTCACAAGTTACTTCAATTCTCATTTATTACACCTTCACATTTGTTCAAAGTGTTCCACTTGGAGAGGAATGCTTTGGGACAGTGCTGAGAGATGCAGATTGTGATGAATAGAGTAAACACTATTATATAACTCGCAGTACCCTGTTTCTCTACTGTCCTGAGGGTACATCAGCAATTAAATGCATTGCCTGTAGTCAGGTATAGTGACAGGGTGACATTCTAAGGTACACACCCTTTTAAGTGCACTGAGCAGTAGGAACATTTATCCTTTGAAAGATTGCTGTGGATTATTTTCCATACCTGCATTTGTGTTAATATAAGAACTCTGACAGATGCTTTTATTTTGCTCCAGCTTTCTCCTCTTCCCACACCTTACTGTGTCCACGTCATCATTGTTGCTGTCCTCGCTGGAAATTAGTTCTGCATGATGGTGCCTAAAAAAGATCAGAATGATCTGATTTAATGTCAATAGACTGCATAAAACGTTGATCATTTTGACGTAGCAGCACGTCAAATATGACGTCCAACCACACAAGATGAGATGTGATATCAGATATCAGATGTGACATGGAACTCATGCAAAGGTAGAAAGCACAACAGTAGGTGCAAAACAGAAAGGGTGTGACAGATTTATCTTTTACTTCAACCAAAATGAAATGTTCTCTAAAAGCACATGATCTTAAGATGTTCCCACCGAACTACTTTGGCTGTCTCCACCCACTCCGACTGCTGACTCTCCCAGTCGTTCACTGTGATCCAATCAGAGTTCTCCGTGGCCAGTCTAGCCATCTCTAACCGATGACAGGCTCCAATCAAACCTTTCTTTTTATAGCTATCTCCAACTGGAGAGATTATGCCTTTCACCACTCTGTATCTTCCTGAGTCAACAAAGAAATACAAAAATAATAAGATGTATGCTAATTATGTATAACGTTAATCACAAAAAATGTGATGAGTGACAACAAAAATAGGTGAATTTTAAAATAATATATATTCACATTAATACATTTTTTTATTTAAAATTTACCAGTGTCTTCCAGGTGATCCCGAGCCAGTTCGAACATACGCAGGTGCATGTTTGTGATGGGGTTGAAGGACCCGCATGCCAGCAGCACCAGTTTGGTTTTCTCTTGTGATGCCATTGATAATATGGAAGATGCTGTCTGCTGAAAAAGAAACCCACTGTAGATAGAAATATACTCTGAAATCAGATTAATTGATCATTTACACAAAATTATATTCATTAATATATAATTTTGTATATATAATCTTAATTATATATTAATATAATTTATATATATAATTGATTACAATTATTCATTAGAATATTTCAATAATAATGGAAAAAATAATTCTGACTGCAGGACAACAAAACAACCAAATATTTCTCTAAAGGTAAATCACAACCAAATTTCCTGTTTCAAAAGTGTAGGTAGTAAGAGGTAGCATTATAGCTATAGTAATTTCTGCACCAGGGAGCAAGGAAAGAGGAAACATTAAAAAAGGACCCTCGCCTTAGGATTTAAGAATGATAGTCTAGACTCTATACAATAAACCACCATTCCACAAATATGCGTAATAACATGCCACCATATTATGTTTAGCGTTAACTTACTTCTTACAAATTCAACACACTAGTCTCGTGCTTCCTATTTAGCTGAGTGCAGTGGTTGTGCTCCAGTAAAACAACTTCGCCGACTTTATTTAACCGACAGTTACAGCTCTAGACAAACAGCAAGACCGACAAACAGAACGTTCTTAAAAATAGTCGATCATTCCCATTGTTTTGACAACTGAAACAGCAGTGTGGGACAAATGATCAATTCGCTTGTAGACCTTTTGTTTTTAACAGTCTGGGTGGAAGACAGACATGCGCAATTCCCATGAGTCAGTAGTGTGTTCGTGATAATCAACTCTGCGCAGAGTTTACGCAGAAAAACCATTGGTTTTCCTATTGAAGATAATAGTGCTAGCAAACCACACCTTAGCAACTGAACTGGATTTAGGAACTTAAACGTAATTTTGTCTTTATCAGTAGTACCTTTATTGGAGAAAAAAGTACGGGTGAGAATGACTACTTTATTAATGTAAAACCACGCCGTTTAGGACTCACAGTTCGAAATGTTTTTGTTTATATTTTAAGTGCTAGCTTAGCTAACTGCGCAGAGAGAGAGAGAATAAAGCAGGGTGACAAAATAATGTGATATATTTCATGAATGGGATACTAGACCTGTCAAGATGGTAAACCAAGCTTAAATAACCATATTACCTTGATACAGCCAATACTAATACTGATCAGAACTATTTTGATAGCAGATCATAACAGGTGTAACGTTAACATTATCATATGTAGTAACAGAAGGACATGTCTTGTTCTTTATTAATAGATGGTGCTGAAAATTTGATATTTGCCTGTTATAACTTATTTATTAAAAAAGATAAAGAATGGCTTCTCGGGGGAAATCAGAAACAACCAAACTGAGACAAAACATGGAAGAACAGTTGGACCGGTTAATGCAACAGCTCCAAGACTTAGAGGAGTGCAGGTAATGACATCCCATCAGTTCTCTATAGCACATTCAGCTTCATGCACAGAATAAAAGCATTTTTTTTATTGCAGAGAAGAGCTTGAAGAAGAGGAATACGAAGAAACCAAAAAAGAGACACTAGAACAGTTGAGCGAGTTCAATGAGTCATTGAAGAAGTTGATGTCTGGGAATATGACACTAGTTGATGAATTGGGGGGAATGCAGCTGGTAAGAAATTAGATTTAATTGTATTAACATACTGTACATGTTAATATATTAAACTGTTCTGAACCATTAGGCAGTATTGAAAAGATTTATAAATTGTAGGTATGAATATTTTACCGGTTTTATTACTGTGAAAAGACATCTAGACTGACTACTAGTATAATTATGCATGCTGAGATCATTTATGACTGCAAATATTTATCAGGCGATCCAAGCTGCCATCAGTCAGGCATTCAAGACACCTGAAGTTATTCGGCTGTTTGCTAAAAAGCAGCCAGGGCAACTGAGAACGAGACTGGCTGAGGTGATTAACATTTTTAATACTGACATTTTCAAATATATAAATACCTATACAAAGACTTGTGTTAATATGTTGATATGACTGTATGAATTCAGATGGACCGTGATGTGATGGTTGGAAAGCTCCCTCGAGATGTGTACACTCAGCAGAAAGTCGAGATCCTCACTGCTCTGAGAAAACTTGGCGAGAAGGTGAGAGAGTTATTATTGACACACAAATGCTTTCCTGCAGACATGCATCTATTTCAAGACTCACGTGTTAAAGCGTTTCTTATACCTGTAACTTGTTTGAATGTGCAGCTCACAACAGAGGATGAAGCATTTCTTGCTGCAAATGCTAGTGCCACTCTGAGCCACTTTGAGAAGGTGACTGCGAGCCTGGGTAAGATGAGAATCAACCAACTATTACTATTAAAGCAACTTATGCTTAAGAATGACCTTTTTTAACAATCAAATGTATCTTTCCTTTCCAGGATCCGAAGATAAGATAATGGCATTGGCCAGTTCTGGAGTTGGGAAGACCCATACATAAGTCTGGTTTACTAGGATTTAATTTTTTTTCGTGAGCGTGGCCTAATGCTGTCTGTGAGTTTTACAGTTTTTGTGTGTTTTTATTTGTTTTTAACAGTGGTTGCAATTTCTACACTTAGGAACAGAATTTGTGACATGACATCATCTGGCCACTCAACCTAAAGTATTTATGTTGGGAGTCATCACGAAAGTTATTTGTATTGTATACACCGTATACATTTTATGTTTGATCGTACATTATTATTTAGGGTACAGTGACAAAAGTGTTTACATTTTCAGTGAAATGTCTCAAACATTTAAACATGAAAGCGCATTTTATTTTAGAATAGCTCTTATTTTCTGAATACAGAGAGGTAAGTTTGCCTTTATTCAAAATGGTCTTGATTCATTTTTATCCTTCTGTAATGTAATTTATTAACCTTATTATCAAGTTGTCTGCCAATAAGCCTTTTGGTACTAGTATTTGATAGTAACACTGTAATTACTATGCATTTTAATTTTAGTTTGTCTTTACTTTTTTAACCAGTGTGATATTTGTAAATATTTTGTATTTTGAATATATTTGGCGATCAACATCTGAAAAGTTGTCAGTGTTTTCCCTTTTTCTGTATTTGCAATAAGTGTCTTACTGTCTTATTTTATTACATTGCATATTGTAGTGGGTTGGAAAAAGGAGCCAAAAAACGGCTTTGAATTCCATTACTGAATGGATTGCGATCTTTGGAAAATCATTTAATATGTAGCCTTAATATTTATAGACTTTATATAAAATTCCACACTGCCCATTTAACATCAAATAAAAACACAGACTGTCAAACTTTTAATTTTACTATTTAGCTGTCCTAAATGGGCACCCTAAACACTTGAGATCTTCCTACGAGGCCGCAGTTTCGTGACATAATGTCGCTTTGATTGTCGGAAAGTCTGCTGCGGACGGAGCTCGCTTCAGTTTGGGTTCGGCAAAAGTGTCATCAAGGGTGTGTAGCTTATGAGCACCCTTCTGAAACCTATAATGACAAATGGGACACCCTATGGCAAGGTTCCGGGATAGTAAAGTGTCCATCGTATGCTCACTTTAGAATTTCGCCGGAAGTAGAAGGTCATTGGGTCCTTTTTGCCTACTCTTTTATGAGTACTGTGAATTCAGACATATTTCTTTTGTCTCATACTGTTTTGCCTACTATATAGTAGGGAAGTATGCGATTTTGGATGCAACCCTTATCTAGCTTGTTCAGGTGTGTTTGATTAGGGTTGGAACTAAACTCTGCAGGGCAGTGGGCCTCCAGGACCGGATTTGAGGAACCCTGCCCTATGGTCTCGTGGACTTCACAGCCACGGCCATTGTATGTCCAAAAGACTGTAAGTGCATATGAAGTGTGCTATTTGGGACTGGGCCTTCTGCTCTCGACCTTCAGGCAGCATTGAAAAGTTTTATAAATGGTAGTAGATATGAATATTTTTCCGTTTTCAAGCACTAGGTGGCAGCATTACTGTGGTCTGTAATTCACCTTCACCTTGAAAGATGAAATGCCTGAGGAAACATCATGGTGAATGATTAAACACCCTTTGGGTAAGGAAACATGTTTATTTATATTTTCTTAAAACTTTAAAGTATGAAGATGGTTGAGGGTTAATATGATGTATTTGTAATGCTGCTTTTAAACTCGGATGACTAAAGGTTACTGAATGCTATACTATGTAAATAATATATAAAGATTATGTTATCAACTTAAATTGTATATTTATATGATTTATTATTGTGCTAAGGTAAAAGTGGGCATAGACAGAAATTGTGTGTAGCATATAATTATCAAATGAAATAATCTGAACTCCAACACGACTTTATTCCCATCTCATCCTTTATTTTGTTCATGAGCAAGCATCAACTTCACTATAATTATTCCTCTGAATAATAGAAAAGTGAATGAGCTGGAAGGCAGCATCCAACAGTTCTACAACATCCCCAATTTTTATTTCTAGAGCAAAAAAATAAAAGTAATTCAAAATGTGAACAACGACCACTGAAGGCTGCAAATCTGTGACAGATAATCTTTGTTTCAGTAGTATTACCAGTCTCCTGACCCCTCTACACCAGTATCATGTGCCAGTTACAGGAAATGTTTATATCTGTGTTATACATGCAAAGACAATGCTCTGTTACATACTCACCATCTGCAGCCATTCACACTCAGCACAGAGTCGGTTATTGATTATGGAAAGTTTCTGTCGCCAGTGTCTTAACATCGTCAAAACCACATGACAAAATCACATCGTTTGAAATACATTTCACATGATTTTCCCTTGAGAAACTGCGGATGAATATTTGCATCAGGGGAAAGGAGGGAAGATACAAACAATTGTGCGATTTTCAGTACAAACATTGATTATACTAAATTTGGTCTCATGGAATGGTCTACATCGATCGAACATTTTCAAAATGATTGTATGTTGAGAATACACTGTGAGAGACTATTACATTTGTGTGAGAAATCATTATGTATCGGATTCTTGTGAATTTCATGCTGCCCTCATCAGGAGATACACTTCAAGATCACCTTTCACTATACACATATTGTTAAACTTATACCCACATATGCTGCCTATAATAATGTACATCTTTTCGAAGTGGAAGTTCCTCAAACATTATTTAGTACAATATTCATTGATGATACAGTATGGACCTATTTTCTCTACACATCAACATGAACACAAGACATCTATGCTGGACAATTAAAACGCCCACTCTTGATAAAACAGCTGTTGATCCCTATCATAACAGAAAATGAAATAAAACCAAGTTAAAATCACTTCCCCATACCTGTATGAAATCTAATATTAAATAATTATAAAATGAGAAAATTGCAACAACTAAAATGGCATGGATGAGTGTTTGGTTAGTTGTGTTATTAATGCGCTGTGATAGGCAAAAGGCACTCCCAACTCCACCAGCTGAAACCTGGACCTCTCTTTAAAGGTCCTGTCAATTTTGAGGGGGACCTGATGACCAAAACATTTAACAAAAACTAAAACCTAAAAAAAAAAAAAAAAAAAATCTCCCATCGCCCTTTCATGGGTCACAAAAATAGACCTTCTTGACAACTTCCCGCATTTGTACCTTTTCTGACATAACATAAAATTATATTCATACCACCAATCACAACAAAGCCTTGTAGCTTAGGCCTTAAACTGAGAATAGTCATGCATGTAAACGAAAGAAAAGGAGGTCTGAATGAAGTACCCTAAAGCTTCACGTCCGTCTTTACTAAACAATATACAATCTCCTAAATAATTAACATTCTTTTTCAAGCCCAACGGGAACAGAATATTATTTCCCCCAATAACTGACAATTTTCGAAGGTGCATCCCGAAATGTCCAATCACATTAAGAAAAGTAAGAAACCGAAACTATGACATGGATCTGAGAGCAACTACGAGGAGAAATGACCTGCAAATCTGGAGTAGATTGATAGCGTCACCAAAAAGGAATAAAAGTTTACCAAATGTAAACAAATATCTTTACACAACTCTACAGTACAGTTCCATTCCATGTACAATAAAATCTACCGACCATACTGCAAAAATATTTTACGCTTTTTAGTTGAAATTCATTTCTTTCAATGCGTTGTGATAGGCAAATTAGCCCTTTTAATGCTTTTAGGGGCCTCAAAATGACAAGAATATTGTAGGCTAACCCCGATTTTGCACAAAAAACAAAACAAAAAAAATCTTACGCCAGTGTTTTAGCAACAGAGGTCTGTTAAAACAGTACGCAATAGACGTTGCAATGCTCACATTGTCGATAATCACCAGCGCACCCATTTTCCATGTCATTTCACTCATAAATGTTATTCAGACTGGGTCATTAGAGTGCATACTGTGATTCCAATTGGTCTCTATTTATTACAGAAAATACAAGCACTATCACTTAAGAATGGCTTAAATAACTGCAGTGTGCCTAAACTGTACAACATACAGTACCACGCGGAAAAAACAACTGTATCACCTGAATGTGATTATTAGTCCGCAAAACATCACTGATTTAAAAACATTGAAGCCTTGGCGTAGCATTTGTACCATTGCAAGCCCAGCTAGAATTAGCATATGTAAAGCCGAAGCACTGAACCAACTCCACGCCCAACCTACAGTACAAAACGAAACGGAACGAAACAAAAAGATGCACACCCACCTCCAAGAGAAAAGACAAAATGAATGACACTTTGCCACAGAAACCTCGGCCTCTGTCATGGGTTTCTCTCTATGAAGCGGACGTCTTTTGTACGAGCATGAGATTTAGCAAAAGTTTCTGAAACATGCTAAGAGCATCTGACAAATATTCTACAGCAGGTACTGTGTCTGACCGTTGGTTAGGCTTTCACTAACACATTGACTAATTACATGGTTTCATCTTATTTACAAAATATCAAAAAGCAGTTGTATTCTTTCATACCAATGATTGCAAATCTTGCCATGCAATATAAAGAGGAAAAAAAACAAAAAAAAGTGATCGGAAAGCATCAAAGAGTTTTTCCTCTAAATTTCCCGAGCAAATACCCCCTAAAACGTCAGGTGCAAGGAATATACATTAAATCATTCTCGGAGCTCAACTTGAAAGTAAAAGTGCAGGGATGTGTCCGAACACAATGCAAATGTATGCCGGGATTTCCCTCGGAAAGGACAGAAAAAGATTCAATAAATTAGGAACTTGTGTTGAGATACCTGTGATACTATACTACACTGAATAACACCACGATAAGATGTCGGTAGGTGGAAATGAAGCGGACTGCAACACCTGTCACGACAGACACCGGATATATTTGCATCTATATTGTACATATATCGTATAATCGTTTAGTTTTCAGCGTTTTTACGCATGGCTCCTTAGGTAAGGGGAACATGGGCATCCCTATTGGCAGAGGGATGTGACTGTGCATGGGGTGGATTTGTCATTGTGTGTGAGTGTGTGTGATCTTAAAGTAGTGTGTACTGTGTGTTTGGGAGGATCAGTAGTTGAGGGTCGAGTCGTCCCACTCCAGCTGCTGCTGTCTGCTCGAACCCTGCTGGTCTTCCTGTTCGCCTCCCTCATCTTCACTGCTGTCCGACTCCGCGCTGGTGATGTCGTCTTCCTCCTCTCCGTCCTCGCTCTCTTCCTCTTCCTCATCTCCTTCCTCTTCGCTGCTGTGCTGGTCCTCGTAAGTCTAAGAGGAAAAGACAATCGGAGGTTCTTTAAACTGTAATAATAGATATCTGTGTAGATTTATTCAAATTAATTGATTCATGAGGAATCAAATTCTTTTTCTTTTTTAGAGCAGGGGTTGCCAAACTTTTATTGTCATCAGAACCCCCTAGACATAAATATGTACCCCCTGAGATTTTAATGTCATATTTTAATAAATTAACAACACATTTGCATGTTCACAGTTCTCTGATGTTGACTAATGGTCACATGACATGCAGATAAACAGATGAAATATCTAATCCTTTTTAGTGAGTGAAATAATATCATTTTAAAATATAAATTATGTGAATGCAAATTAAGTAGATCTAGCACACGCTGCATTCCTGAACTGCATGTGTCAAGTAATTCTATTTATATATTTGTGTGTGTGTGTGTATATACAGGTCCTTCTCAAAAAATTAGCATATTGTGATAAAGTTAATTATTTTCCATAATGTAATGATAAAAATTAAACTTTCATATATTTTAGATTCATTGCACACCAACTGAAATATTTCAGGTCTTTTATTGTTTTAATACTGATGATTTTGGCATACAGCTCATGAAAACCCCAAATTCTTGTCTCAAAAATTAGCATATCATGAAAAGGGTCTCTTTTCGAGCTTATAACCTAATCATCTGAATCAACTAATTAACTCTAAACACCTGCAAAAGATTCCTGAAGCTTTCAAAAACTCCCAGCCTGTTTCATTACTCAAAACCGCAATCATGGGTAAGACTGCCGACCTGACTGCTGTCCAGAAGGCCATCATTGACACCCTCAAGCAAGAGGGTAAGACAGAAAGAAATTTCTGAACAAATAGGCTGTTCCCAGAGTGCTGTATCAAGGCACCTCAGTGGGAAGTCTGTGGGAAGGAAAAAGTGTGGCAAAAAACGCTGCACAACGAGAAGAGGTGACCGGACCCTGAGGAAGATTGTGGAGAAGGACCGATTCCAGACCTTGGGGGACCTGCGGAAGCATTGGACTGAGTCTGGAGTAGAAACATCCAGAGCCACCGTGCACAGGCGTGTGCAGGAAATGGGCTACAGGTGCCGCATTCCCCAGGTCAAGCCACTTTTGAACCAGAAACAGCGGCAGAAGCTGGGCTACAGAGAAGCAGCACTGGACTGTTGCTCAGTTTTGCATGTCATTCGGAAATCAAGGTGCCAGAGTCTGGAGGAAGACTGGGGAGAAGGAAATGCCAAAATGCCTGAAGTCCAGTGTCAAGTACCCACAGTCAGTGATGGTCTGGGGTGCCATGTCAGCTGCTGGTGTTGGTGCACTGTGTTTTATCAAGGGCAGGGTCAATGCAGCTAGCTATCAGGAGATTTTGGAGCACTTTATGCTTCCATCTGCTGAAAAGCTTTATGGAGATGAAGATTTCATTTTTCAGCACGACCTGGCACCTGCTCACAGTGCCAAAACCACTGGTAAATGGTTTACTGACCATGGTATTACTGTGCTCAATTGGCCTGCCAACTCTCCTGACCTGAACTCCATAGAGAATCTGTGGGATATTGTGAAGAGAAAGTTGAGAGACGCAAGACCCAACACTCTGGATGAGCTTAAGGCCGCTATCGAAGCATCCTGGGCCTCCATAACACCTCAGCAGTGCCACAGGCTGATTGCCTCCATGCCACGCCGCATTGAAGCAGTCATTTCTGCAAAAGGATTCCCGACCAAGTATTGACTATTGAGTGCATAACTGAACATAATTATTTGAAGGTTGACTTTTTTTTGTTGTATTAAAAACACTTATTTTATTGGTCGGATGAAATATGCTAATTTTTTGAGACAGGAATTTTGGGTTTTCATGAGCTGTATGCCAAAATCATCACTATTAAAACAATAAAAGACCTGAAATATTTCAGTTGGTGTGCAATGAATCTAAAATATATGAAAGTTTAATTTTTATCATTACATTATGGAAAATAATGAACTTTATCACAATATGCTAATTTTTTTAGAAGGACCTGTATATATTGTGTGTATATATATATATATATATATACACACACAAATAAATATATAAGGCATGTTTGCGGAAAAACAGATGCTTTATTTCATCCCTTGCCTCTATATTGATGTTTAATATCTATGAAATGGTCTGGTTTAATACTTCTTTCAGTAACCATACTGCAAATAGTTCAGTAAATAGAAAATCCATATTAGTGGACAAATGTACAGGAGGAGGAGGAGGAGGAGGAGGAGGAGGAGGAGGAGGAGGAGGAGGAGGAGGAGGAGGAGGGATGGTTATAACAGTATATTTTTACAACAGTGCAATGAGTTTTTGATGGGTTCCTCAGCCCTCTGCTGCATTAGCTATGTATGAGTGCTCTAAGAGCGCTGAGCGAGCTCTGTTTTAAGAACTCACCTCCATTGGGTTGACGGTGATGGTGAGGGCTGAGTCATCCCAGTCCATCTCATTCTCTTTGCCATTTTCCTGGTCCCTCATTGTGCTCTGGTGGGCAGCACGGATACGGAACACTCCCAGGATGATCATAAACACCAGGAAGCTCACACATACAACAATAACGATGGTGGCAGCACTGGGGACAACTGTGAAGAGTGGAGGGACATTAGCATTAGGTATTTAGGGTGAAAAAAAACTAAAAAAGGTTGTCTGAGGTGCCCCTCGCCGGCTGTCCAGATGTTGTAGACAGCACTCGTATATAATCCCTGAAAGCGCGCCATTAAAAAGGGGCTAAGTACACAGCGCCCCATAACCGTCCTAGTTTTTAAATTGACTTTAAGCTGAGGAAAAACTCGTGGAAAGAAACTGAATTCAGTTTTGAGCTTGACATTAAACAGATTATTCGTTTGATTACCAAATCTGGATTATCTTTAATGAGAGATTAGTGCGATAATCTAGGAGAGATACTGTGAGAGATGAGGCAGCCAATGAAACGTCTTTATTTCCAAGAGAAGCTGAACAGATGGATCAGAGGAGGCGAGGAGAAGGTATACCTGAGGCCTGATGTGTGTTCACCAGGTTGTGTCCAGACAGGTCCACTGAAGCGTGCTGTACTTGGTTGATGAACTGAGGTTGTACCATAGCATTGTTAGCATGATCCATTGGGTTTGCTGTATGGATCACGTTGACCTGATTACATAAAAGATTAAGACGGTCACACAACTGCCATCTGCACAGTACAGTACAATACAACTTGCTACAGAATAGGTCTTTGCAAATCCTTATTTGGCTTATTTTTATATAGCCTTATTCATAGCATTTTTGTATTTACAGTAAAGTAATCAATGATTTTTATGATTTATATATTTGTATATATACACATGTAATAAAAATGTGTATAGTGAATATAAAAATATATAAAATAAAAGCTCTTTAATTCATCTTAAAAAATCGAAAAATTATCCTTTTATTAGTTATTTAAAAAAAATATTATTAATTATATTTAATTAATTCAATATATACACTACCATTTAAAAGTTTGGAGTCGGTAAGATTTTTTAAATGTTTTTTAAAGAAGTCTATTATGCTTGCCTGGGCTCCATTTATTTGATAAAAGAATACAGTAAAAAAAGAAATATTTTGCATTTTGAGTTTTCGGCAACCTTTATTCCAGTCTTCAGTGTCACATGATCCTTCAGAAACCATTCTTAGATGTTGGTATGGTGCTCAAGTAACATTTATTATTATTATTATTATCAATGTTGAAAAGCCTGTGCTTTTTTAATATTTTTGTGGAACCTGAACATTTTTTCAATATTCTTTGATGAATAGTACGGTCAAAGGAAACGCCTTTAGGCAATTTGAAATAGAAATCTTTTGTAACATTTTAATGTCTTTTGATCAAATTCATTCATGCTTTTATTACATCCATTAAATGCATCCAATACACATTTTTCATAAAAATTGTAATCTGACAAAAAAAAATCTTCCTGACCCCAAATTTCTATAAGGTTGTGTGTGTGTGTGTGTGTGTGTGTGTGTGTGTGTGTGTGTGTGTGTGTGTGTGTGTGTGTGTGTGTGTGTGTGTGTGTGTGTCTTAGATATAACTGTAGGTACTGTACTATTTTGGATGTAATACATTTTAACACAGAGGACAGTGTGCGTTCAGCCATACCTCGACTTTAAATTCATTGCTGATGTAGCGGCCATTGAGTTCAGAGCAGACAAGTTTAAATTTCCTATCAAACAGGGCTTCTGTGTGCCAGTTCCTGTAGCGGATCAGGTGCAGGACCTGTTCATAGTTCGCCATGGTGTTAACCCCTGTGGACAGAGTCAAACTTTAACCATGTGTTGTTAAGATTACAGTATAGAAGCTTTTATCGCCATTGGATCAGCCAGATAATGAATATAAACTACTGTGAACGAAACTCACAAATATAATCCAAGACATGTGTGCAACAGCGCAACTATATAGCAGTTGTTTGTTGATGTAGATGGATGAGTACCTTTGATGACCATGCCCACGTTAGAAGAGCTCATCTCCAGAGTTCTCTGCTGGATTTGGGCCAGATCCACCTCTAAACTCTCATGATCTCCATTCAAATCATCTCCCACTACAGTCACCTCACACGTGTCCAAGTTATGCATGATCTCCTCAGATACCACCGTCTCTTGCACTGCCAAAAATAAAAAGCCATCCGTCAGTAAGTTAGATCAGAGCCTCTCCATTTGATTGAATTTAATCTTGGAAAGACTTGAATGTTCAGAATCAGTCCACCATGCAATTCTATGGCAAATATTGATTAGGGAGAATAAAGTAACCTGTAAGAAATACTTACAATGCACTAAAATGTCAAATAAAAACACGAGCCAAGAGAAAACCTCTTAGACTGTCTTTTCCTAAAGCATAAGCTATACAGTTCATCCCAGAATCAGAATCAGTACTCCAAGAAACAGTTTAAAGGTGTCATGTGGAATGTCTGCCAAAAAATAAATTCATACTCCACATATTCCATACCAAATGGGGGCAGTATACCTCCAGAAAGTTGGCCTACTCTAGTCTGTTTTTTAGTTTCGGGTTGTTAATCTTCTAAAACCGTCAAATCGTCCGCTTTGTCCCGCCAAAGCCTATTTTGATCGGTGAGTGATGTAGAATATAATGACTGCTGCGCTTGACAGGGCTTATAACGAGCAGAGAGAGAGAGCGCCCCGGCCGCGCGCGCGCACTCTCACGTCTTCAAACAACACGAGCGCAGTCCTCCTGCTCTCTCTCTCCCTCGCGCATACTAATCAAATCAATTGACACGATAGTAAGACCGCAGTTCATTTGGAGATTTTTAGAGATTAGAGACTCAATGAACAACATCTCAACACTAAATTATAAAGGCCGGTCTCATATAGACGCGATTGACATCAGGTTTAAGTTCAAGTACGCCCACAAGCCGTGCGAGTTATTCGTGTACTGCAGTTTGGCTGGTGGTTATGTATGTTGCCCGCATACCGCCTCCCATGGCCGAAACTGGTATTACGACACCAGTCGGGCCGGCGCTAGTAATTTAGCATGCTAATTTAGGTTTATATCTCGGCAGCACTATAACTTGTCAATTTTTTAATGACATCATTGCACTTATTTCTTCTCATTCTTTTGATGCGTGTAGCTTATTTTTTGGATAATTTTACCTCAATTTTTACATAGGGCACCTTTAACCATTTGCATTTCCATTTAATATGTTGTTCCAAGTCAGTATAACATTCTTTCTAGTTTAGATCACAAATGTCATACAGGTTTGGAATATTATATGGATGAACTGTCCCTGTAAGTAATTTCTCTTGCAGTCAATGGGGATTTTATGGTTCTTACCCTACAACTTTCTATCTCTTTCATGATCCATTTCCCTTCTCTCCATTCTTGCAATGCACTAAATCTTAAAATAAAAATCATGAGCTAAGAGGAAACCTCTTAGACTTTCTTTTCCTAAAGCATAAGCTATACATTTCATCCCAGAATCCTTTATATAGACTCCTACAGGTGACAACATCAGTCTGCCTAGCACTAATTTAAGCATTAACTTCCAAAATGTTACTCCAAGAAACTCTTTAATCACTTTTCCATGTCCACAATCATGTAATTGAAGCCCATTTTACTTTACATTTTAAGTTGAACTGTCCTTTCAAGTAATACCTCTTGCAATGTAGAAACTATTCTCTGTCAATCTGTTTTCTTATAGTTATCCTACAACTTGTTTTCCCTTTTATGATCCATTTCCTCTCTCTCCAGCTTTCACAGCAAAATATGTGACCCTGGATACCCTACATGTACCACGAAGATATTTTGTAAATTTCCAACCGCAAATATATAAAACAATGTTTCTCAATGCTTCCATTTTTTTACACCCTCAGATTCCAGATTTTCAAATAGTTGCATCTTGGCCAAATATTGTCATATCCATCAAAGGAAAGCTTATTTATTCAGCTTTCAGATGATGTATAAATCTCAATTTTAAAAAAATTGACCCATGTGACTGGTTTTGTGGTCCAGGGTGAATCTCACATTCCCAGCGTACCTGTGGGATCATCCTCGCCCTCGGTTTCTGTCTCAGCTTCCACCTCCACCTCGCGGGTGATGGTACTGACGATACGCAGCTCAGGGAAGAGCGTAACACCCTCCGTGCTCTCAAATTCAGCTGCTCCACGGGCAAAATGATCAATCCCACTGAGGCTGATCTTCGGCTCCTCTGGCTGGAGAACCATCACGTAGCCTTCAGAGTCAGGCACGGAGATGCACGTCTCCTCATTGAAGCATCTACAGAATGACGAAGTAGATCAATCATAATACATTAACCATTATGACTGCACTAAAAGTATGACAAGATCGCCTCTCCTTCATTATGAGCTTTTCTGTTTTGTTAGTTATTTTGGAACAATAATATTTCACAGTGGGTGGGGCTGGCTTGTATGATGCAGCTGAATTGAAATAACGGAAACTAACTTGACAGTGGTGGTGACACGCAGATGGCGGATTCCTGGGGTGGGGAACTGCCGGGAGTTCAGGTACGAGATGTGTTGCATGACCTTCTCAAAGCTCTCAATGTCATCTCCCTCCAGGCTCAGAGAGGACTGGTTGGGGTTAAACTCCACCTAGAGAGGGACAGAGAAACGTATATCCATCAGGGCACCATTGTTAGCTAAAATTTAAACTCTTACAATTCATTTTCAGTCATTGAAATTAAGTTGAAATAAAAGAAATATAAATATAAGATGGAAAAGCATGAACTTAAAAATTACTAGAATTACTAAAACTAAAATAAAAAGAAACACACGCATATATATGTACATACATACATATACACACACATACATACCACTCATGTAAAGTGATATAAACTACATAGCAAATCCCAAATCTCAGATTGTTTTTGTGGCAAAATTTAACTATATTACTGACCAGCTCTTTATATATAGTTGGGTATATAACCATGTCCAACTTTATCCATATACATACATATGGGACGATTTTAGTATCAAAATGATTAACACGTGCAAGCACACTTATCAATGAACTTGATACATGTTGCAGAAATGTTTTATCCATGCCTTTCAACTTGTGTGTGCAAAATTCAAAATTGAATGAATGTGAAGCAATTTGTACAAATAGAGACATTTTTGTGAATACAAATGTTTTCCTTTGTATTAGTGTATCATAATTTGCACATGCAACACAGAAGACGTGCATGTGTGGATCAGGTGACGCGCGTGCATTCATTGACTCGATTCATTGAGTCGATCCTATTTGATTCATTTGGATTTTGAGACTTTCATTTCGCGGGTTTCGCCTTGCACGATCCACACACAGCTGTCTGAGAAAAGCTGCTACCACTAGATGGCAGTATTCTGCTAAAACAGACAACGGCAGCATAATCAAGCGTTCTTCCGCATTTAAGACGCTTAATGAGAGAGTGATATTGAAGCACCAAATTTAGTACACAATAATATAGGCCTACCCTATTAATAAAGCATACTTTATAGAGGTAAACAGATAACATCAGATTATGAACAACACCCATAGAAAACCGTTAGTTGCATGTTCAATAGCCTACGGTATATTGGCAACTGAGTTTAAATATCACCGTCTTACTGCATTGACGTTAAGCTTTTTCTTTATAATATGCTCTATGGGAGGAAAACTATATAGCCTACAGACAAGAGACTACATGAATGCAACGCACGGCGTTTCAAGTTAATACAATTTTCCTTCCTGTTGAAAAAAAGGTGAAATTTCGCAGTTGCGTTCATATTATATGCTTATTTTTATCTGACTACACATTGTGTACATAGTATACAAGCAGGAATTTGAAAATGTCTGTTTTTAAATATTAAAGACGATTTTCGCAGTAGGCTACATTTGTTTTCCCTTGACCCTTAAGCCATAGGCTATAGTCTTACTATAGCACGATGAGTTTTAACAATATGCAACCATTGTATATCGACATGAAATATTAATTGAAAATCAACTGGCGTAGCGGGCCTGTAGCTGCATATTTCTACATGAGAATGCTTTGACGCGCTAACCACAGCTCATGATGCACAAGAGAACGTCTGCCAATTCCACTAACTGCGTTAAAACCACTGATCTATAATGTCATTCTATATAGATCAGTGGTTAAAACGTATAATTTGTTTTAATTCAAATTACTTTTTAAATTTAATAACAGACATTTTCAAATTCCAAAGCTCGTAGAAGGTTTCTGTAAGACTGACTTACAAGTAAAATTTGGACAATACTTCCCTTCATGTAGCCTGTATTCTGCAGAAAAATACTGTAATTCACCAAAAGGGTTTTTTCATGTTCAAAATGGTTGTAGTATGTTCAGTGACTAGACTGGCTTACTACAGGTGAAATTGCCCCAATAACTCCCTTCATGTAGCCTATTTAGTAAACAATTATTATTTTATAAAAAAATTACTGTAATTAACCAAACGGGTTTTTGGTGACTTACTACAAGTGAATAATGTAAAATTTCACCTGACTTGTCACTAGGAACATACTACAACCTTTGGAACATGAATAGAAAAACAATTTACAGTAAATTAAAAAATTGTAGGCTACTGTTCAATCGAGATATTGGCTGGACATAGTACAGTAACAGTAGGCTAAGTCAGTCTGCCCACTAGACTTCCAAGGTTATAATATAACCTTGGAAATATGTTCATTTGAATGAATGACTGGACGTTTATATTTTTTTGACTGTGAGTGGAGTTTGCAGATGGTCCCTTTATAAAATGAGGCGAATATCAAACCTAAAACTTACTTCACTGCACTCTCGGACCGGTTGCTCTCCCATTCACATGCAAAGTTAAACGCAACTGCAGAATTTTTATTTCATGTTAAGCTTTTTCTTTTTAACAGGCTCGGGAAGGAAATGTTATTAACTTGAAACGCCGTACATTGCGTTCATGTAGTCTCTTGTCTGTAGGCTATATAGTTTTCCTCCCATAGAGCATATTATAAAGAAAAAGCTTAACGTCAATGCAGTAAAGCCTTGTTTATACTCGACGCGTCCGCAAGAGCGCGAAGTGCGCGCGGCAAAAACGACGTCATTGCGGTGTGGGCGGTCGTGCGCGTTGGGTGCGCAAGACCCCATTTCGCCTGGCGGTGTGCACGGCACTTTTTGCGCGCGGCGCCGCATCCGAAGATGAACGACTTCGAGCCGAATCTGGCCGAACTGGTGCGTCTGTATCAGCATGTTTATGATCCTTCTATACACAGAGACATTTGCATTGATGGGCGACCATAAAAGCCTCTCATTTTTTGAATAGGAACACATTTACATTAAGCACCCAGTTTGCACTCTAAAGTAACTGCTTATATTTACAAAATAAGCCTACAATAGCAGAAGTAAGCCCTGCTGATGAAATTAAGGTTTAAACACTCTTCAATAAGGCTTCAGTTGTTTACTAGTTTACATGCAGTGAAAGTACAATAAACCTACTGCATTTATTACTCTTTTTATATGAATCAGAAAACAATAAACTACTAATAAATGGCAAACTACTTCTTCACTGCTGATTCCTGGTGGTTTAGAGGAGAATTACTCCGAGTCGCCCCCTGTCGTTTCACAGAATAGCACAACGGCGAGCGCGTCAAGTATAAACGCCTCGTCCATATGGAGAGGTCCGCGCGCAGTCAGCGGAGACTCGCGCTCGTGCGGACGCGTCGAGTATAAACAAGGCTTAAGACGGTGATATTTAAACTCAGTAGCCAATACACCTTACTGAACATGCAACGCGCGATTGCACGTTAAGCGTTTTATAATGGTTTTCTATGGGTGTTGTTCATAATCTGACGTAATGTTTGCCTCTATAAAGTATGCTTTATTAATAGGGTAGGCCTATATTATTGTGTACTAAATTTGGTGCTTCAATATCACTCTCATTAAGCGTCTTAAATGCGGAAGAACGCTTGATTATGCTGCCGTTGTCTGTTTTAGCAGAATACTGCCATCTAGTGGTAGCAGCTTTTCTCAGACAGCTGTGTGTGGATCGTGCAAGGCGAAACCCGCGAAATGAAAGTCTCAAAATCCAAATGAATCAAATAGGATCGACTCAATGAATCGAGTCAATGAATGCACGCGCGTCACCTGATCCACACATGCACGTCTTCTGTGTTGCATGTGCAAATTATGATACACTAATACAAAGGAAAACATTTGTATTCACAAAAATGTCTCTATTTGTACAAATTGCTTCACATTCATTCAATTTTGAATTTTGCACACACAAGTTGAAAGGCATGGATAAAACATTTCTGCAACATGTATCAAGTTCATTGATAAGTGTGCTTGCACGCGTTAATCATTTTGATACTAAAATCATCCCATACATACAGTACACTTGTGTAGACTGATATATACTATATAGCACATCTCAACTGCTTGATTGCTTGTATTGCCACAAAATATAAATTATATTATCACCCAGCTTTAATCTGCTAAATGCAAATATAAGGCATGAAGATATTATAAACACTAATATCATGGTTTTCTGTAAAGCTGCTTTGAAACAATGTGTATCGTGAAAACATTATACAAAAAAAATTGACTTAACAAAATAAATAAATTAAAATCTATATAGCAATAAAAAACACAAAAAATTACCAAAAAAGCCAATTCAAAACAGTAATAAATGCTATAATAGTATATAGATAATATAATTAAATAACACTACAGAACACCCATGAGTCACAAGAGTAATTTCACAAAGATCATAACTGCACAAAGTGTCATGATCATCAGACTCTTCACACCTTCATCTACACAGCCCAAAAGAAGCAAACAATTCTTCAAAGTTCACATCCACTCACCTTCACAGCAGAGGCCACTTCCTCTGGAAGCTGCACGTCAAGACCTTCCTTGCAGGTGTACAGGCAGTCAATAACCTTCTTGTTTTCCAGTTTGCCGGAGCGGATCATGAGTCCCGCCAGGTTGCCCCGGAAGTACTGAGTCATGCGGGCGCTGCCACCTATACAAACCCGGAGGGGGACAGATCCTGTTAGATACCAAACAAATGCTCTACTAAACTCAAACATGCTTAGTGTGCACAGGCAGTATGACTGATGCTCATGCATGTTATGTGTTCTGTGCCGCTGCCGCCCAGTGTGTCACACAGGATGATGGATGACCTAATTTAGGCCTGTGGCCTCATGCAACTCTTGGTGGGAGAAAAAAAGGCAAATGAATGGGAATGAGCACAAAGAGGCACATAAAAAATGAGGCAACATGATTGAATAAATCTACACATATTTGCATATTTCTAAATGGTTTCGGCAGGTAATGTGTGTTTTGAACTACCTTCTTGTTATCAACCTTTAAGGAATAGGTGACCCAAAAGAAAATGTAGTCATTGTGTTGTTCCAAATGCGGTATGCGATTATTATTTCCATGGAACATACCGGTAGAATTTATTGAATAACATTTCGTATTATCATCAATGTTGAAAAGTTCAGCATCATTTGACTGGAAACAGTAAAAAAAAACAGAATCAGGATTCTTTAATGAATAAAAGTTCAAAAGAACAGCATTTATTTGGAATAGAGTTTTTAAGTTAAATTATATCTTTGCTGTAAAGTATTAATTTAATTAAAAATGCTTTACTGACCTCAAACTTTTTAACTATAGTGTATATAAAAATTTTATAATCAATTTTACAACAAATGTATTTAAAAAAATATATTCATATTATAATATTATCTTCAAAGTTCACAATTAGCTCTCAATTCACATCCAAAATTCAAAATGCTGCGACGAGCTTAGTTACTACCCAACGCAATAACTAATAATAATTAAAATGCATTGTTTTTTTATTTAAATGAGTCACTTTTCCTAGTTAGAGCTTGACAGATGTTGTTGTATGTGTAATTTTTTTTTAAAATGTTACTTTTGTGTTCTACAAAATACATATATATATTTGTTTGATATACGTTTGAAACAACAGAATTTTCATTTTTGGGTGAACTGTCCCTTTAAGATGAAAACGCCACTGGTATGTTTCTAGCTGCATATAATGTCCTCTTATACTATGACTGCGTCTGAAGGACACAGAGATGCGGGAGCAATAATATGACTGAGTAATGCTGTAAAGCAGAGGCAGCAAGGTCACACAGAGAGAAATAAGACACTGTCTGCTGCACTGATACCACTGGCATAAATAACCCTGCAAACCGCAGCAAGGAATGCAGCCAAACCCTCTGGTTTGTCATAAAAACATGCAGATCCCTAAGGTCAGTTGGACTTGTTTTGCTTGTAATATATTGTGTGTCTGCTGTGTTTACTTCTCCAGATCTGAGGGCAAACTGAAATGAGATGGAGCTGGGTTGATGAATTAAAAAAACAAAATGAAGAACAAGACAGAGGCAGGGTTTATGACATGGCGTCTCTCGACTCAGTCGCATCATGCTACATATGTTATGCCGTGGCAGACTAAAGCTGTGCACATACGTTCCTCCCGCAGCCATATGTCACGCTGCAGAAGAACCGTATATGCACAGGCCGTTAACAGACGTGCGTTTTGATATATTGGGATGATCAGGAAAGACTTGGGCAACCTGTCAAAGGCTCTGAGAGTGTCTCAGTATCATTGTCATGTCCTGAGAGGTCTGTGGAGGCAAGACAGAAGAGCAGGGAAAGACCAGGGCTCAATATAGTCAAGGGAAAGAAAGTCACTTGATACATATTCTCATGCATTTAAAGACCCCATGAAATGGTTCGTATTCTAGAGTGCATTTTATTGAACAAACATTTGTAAAGTATTTTAAAATAAGTAAATTGTATATGTTATAATTACATGTTATATATATATTATAATGATTATTGTCCATTTTCCAGAAAGAGAAAAAATTTAAATAACTTAAGTATTATTATAATTATAATAAATATTTACTTAATTAGATTGATTAAATATCATTTATTTAAAAAAATCTATAATTTTACTACTAACAATTTTTTTATGATGATTGAATAACAATAAGAGTAACGATAATACTAATCATGTTTTAATAACAATAATAATAATCTTTATTATTAAATCATGATGATTGTTGTTATTAAATCATGATAATAATAATAATAATAATGATTAATAATAATAATTAGTATCATAACAATAATAATTAAATTACTATTATTAATATTAATAATAATATTAGTAGTATACTGTATAATAATGGATTTATATAATTAGTAGTATATAATATTAATACTACAATTGTTGTTGTTATTATCAATAATAATGATTATTATTTTATTATTTATTAAGCAGCAACAAAACTCTGTTTGATTTAATGAGGTCTTTAAGATCATCTAATTCATGGCATTTGTGAAAAGATTTTAAACTACATCTATGACTGGGGTTTTAAAATAGGCAACTCTACAAATTGCAAAACTACTCACTAATATAAAGCATGCTTACATTTCAACTGCAGCTGGCGAAAAAGAGGTGTCAAGTCTAAACCTAAGGTTACATCATTGTGTGTGTGGAGAATCAATAGATCATTAGCGAGTGTACCTTGCCAGCAGGCGCCGATGGTGAGCTGGGTTTCGATCTTGGAGGCATGCAGAGGGTAATCCTCCGTGACCAGGAAGGGCTCAAAGGTGGCACCATCCACAAACAAAGTTACTGCTGGGAACTCGATGTTCAACACGTAGTGATGCCATTCTTTATCACACACCTGGGAGGAGAGAGACTGGATCAGGGCCTCGGTTTAACTACAGATTGCATCAGTGCAAAAGAATTCAGAAGAACTTGAAATGGTTATTTACATTGAGAGAAGAAACCCTAAGTTAACCTTGCTAAAGCTAAAGGATTTTTAGGCCTGGTTTCACAGACAGGGCTTAGATTAAACCAGAATTAGGCCTTAGTTCAATTAGGGCATTGAAGTAGCTTTATTAATCGTGCCTTAGAAAAAAACATTACTGGTGTGCATCTTGAGACAAAACATATATAGATATATCAGTGCAAGTTGCTTTCAGTTTCAACAGCTCAAACATGCATTTTAGTCTGGGACTAGGCTTAAGTCATTAAGGTTTTTAATGCTAAGGACCTTCAGTTATGATGATGCTCTAGCAAGGGACCCCCTTTGTAAAATATAACCCAGGTATATTTTCAAGTATAACGATGCACTTTTACTGAGTAAGAAAATTAAATATTACAACATACAATTATAATATACTGTATGTTATACCTCCCAAAAATAACTGTATTTGTCCTAACTCTTTGAAACAAATCCTAGTCTAAAGTATTCAACATTAAGTAGACAATCCTGAAAGCTATGAAATGTTGACAATGGTTGATAAAAGCTAAATCTTTTGGTTTATAATGCATGCTTCTACATCTATATCCTCTGAGGTCACATTTGTTCTTCTAATGAATGCATTTATATTTAATTCTGTGTAAGCCAGAAGTTTTTCTATTTTCATGCGACATGGACCATTTGGATAGAGAATTTTATGGAGCAAGAGTTTTATTTAAGTATGTTTATGCCCTAATTTAACACATGAGCTGATCTATTCCTTTCTAGCAGGCTAAACATAGCGTTTGGAAACACAAGGGCGTCTTTCAAAACTGAGTGCTTCTGAAAGGACTCAAGTTGACTCACTTGATCGAGTTTCCAGTGGAATTCAGCCGGTTTGTAGTTCTCAGACTCGGTGGGCTCCTGACGCAGCAGCAGCACAAGACGACAGTTGTGTACGTACAGCGAATAGTGGTGCCTATTCATTTCTGCAGAAGACACATATACAGGAATGAAAATCACACTTCTGTCAATGATAATTCATGTTAATATGCTTGTTTATCACATGACAGAGTTTCACACACACAGATAAAATGAAAGGATTTAATTTAAACTGTGCTGCGCTGTACACGGATTGCTGCGGTCTCACTCTCCCAGCAAACAATAAAGCAACTTCCCATAAACAGGGGCATAACTGTGATGTAATCAGCCTTACATAAGTCCCAGCAGATGAGCTTTTTCTAGCGCAGGCAATTGTGCTTCAATGACCAGAGAGTGAGATCATAGCGTAAGAGTCCCAATTCATACACCTACTACAAGCAACCCTCAAAAATGTTATGAGATGCTACTCTAGTGATATTTTTCCAAGGACACTACCATAAAACCAATCAACATAATTATATATCATTAGATATTTCTGAATAGGATGGGTATTTTTTTGTAGTTATTGGAAGGAAAACAAAATAATACACATGATTATTCTGTTCAGCAATTTGTGTGGATGATACTTATATAATAATATGTGTGAAAAGTGACTATATCTTTGAATACCACACATAAAATGCCTGGAATAAAATAAAATATAATTAATTAATTAATTAAAAAAATAGAAAAAAATATATATATTTTTTTTTTATAATAAATTATGACAACAACAACAATAATAAACTACTACTACTAATAATAATAAAGAATTTTTAAAACAATAATAATGGGTGTAACAATATATCGTGCCACAATATATCGCAATACAAAAATGCAACAATACGTATCGTGGATAGTGACAATATGTATCGTGGATAGTTCACCCAAAATAAAAATTACTGTGTGAGAAATAAATTCAATTTTTTCAGAGTTTTAGTGTCAGTACTACATTAAACTACTATACATAATGTTGATTATAATGTATAATAATGCAATGGGGGAGTATTTGTGGGTCCTGATAATGCCAAATGTCTTATGCTACCAGTAAAAAGTGGCCAACATTATTTTAAATATATCTAGTCAGTGACAGAGTGCAAGCATATTCGTCTATAATAATTCTGTATTTTCAGCTTCAGAATCATGAATATTTTTATTCTGGTGTCACCATTGTCCTTGGGTTACAAGCACCAAGTCTTGTTTTAATCAACAGTACATTTTTTATTAACCTTTTATCATATGTCTTGGAGTATCGCAATAATATCGTATCGTGAGTTCAGTATCGTGATACGTATCGAATCGTGACATGAGGGTATCGTTACACCCCTAATAAAAACTAAAAGCCGCAAATAGAGAAGACTGCATAATTTTATCAGTTATAATGTCCAATTAACTCTTTACCCGCCAGCGTTTTTTGAAAAAAGTTGCCAGCCAAAGCCAGTATTTTTGATTATTTTCACAGTTTCATGGCCCCCAGAATATTTTCTTGTATGAATATCTGAAAATGCAATATGTCAAAAGAAAGAACAGACCCTCTGCTTTTAAAAAACAAAAACAAAGAAAAAAACGTTTTATTCTAGCTTTATGTATTCCTTTTTTTATCAACATTTGAATATTGGCAAGCTTCGTTAAAAAAAATCAACATTTTGAGCAAAAGGGTCTGGATCGGATTCAGAATGATGATCAAAACATAGATGGAGTAGATCGAGTCCATCAACCCCTCCAAAGTTTCCCCCCCCCCCCCCCCCCACAGTCCTATAGCTCGTCCTGGGTCGACATTTCATTCGGTAACATTAAGCAGTTTTGATTTATATGCTGTTTAATATTGAAGATCGTGTTATTTTACATATGCATCTGCTTACATATATCATCACATGTTTCTGCTTCTTTTTCTCCTGTGTTTTGATGAGAAGATTCAGTACTCTTTCAGAAGATGCGTAATGGCGCCCCCTATCGTATAACAGTGAAACACGGAAAGCTGGAAATTTCTGTCAATGGCGGCAAAAGAGTGAACTAAATGTGTTAACAGCTTTACTAACAGTGAATTAATTGCGTTAACATGATGATTTTGACAGGCCTACTGAAGATGATGAGGACACAAAAACATTAAAGCCATCATCACCCTCTCAGTCCTGTGAGCTTTTTTTTTTTTTTCTGTGTGAATGTCATTACCGGTCTTGTCAGAGTTGCAGAGGATGGTCTCTTTCTCCCTGCTTCCAGGTCCATGTCTCATCCACACTGAGATGGTGAAGGGCTCCTTCAGGGTGGTGCTCACCACACCCTCCGGGACCTTGATGGCCTGGGTGCCGTTGAACTCGAACACCTGGTCGCTGTCGTGCCCGTTGTCAGTGGGCAAGCCTACGGTCCAGTTGGCAGAGGTGCTGGGAGCAGGCAACAGCTCCACAGTGCCAGTGCTGGCACCTGGATGAACACACACAGTTACTCAGAGGATTTCAAATTATTGCTTGGTTATGCTTCAGCATGTGCCTATGGGATTATGCAGGTAATATGATTATGTAAATTAGTTTAAAACAGTTTACAATTGAGTCGCTTAACTCAAAATTCTCTAAAGTAATAAGCACATTTAATGATCTTGATGTCAATGTAACTCTATTATAATAAGTATGTCTGGACTCACCGCAGAGCTTGTGTAAAGATTTTTCGGAGTAAGTGTCTCTGTCGCAGCCCTTGCCGATGTGATTAGTCTCCAGCATGATGCTGGCCTGAATGGAGGTGATTGGCTCCTCACAGGTTTCCAGGTGCATGCTGGGGAACAGGGCTAGACTTCCTGTGCCAGGCTCATATTCAATCCGTTTATTAAATCCTATCAGGATCAGACAGACAGAAAATGTGCCAAAAAACAGACTCGCAAAGAGTATTCGGTAACCCTTTCCAATAAGTGTGTAAACGCTAAAACTAGTTAACACAAACTAAAAATGAAAAACAGATATGTACAATATTTTGTACATATATTAAAACATTTTTAACATTAAAAGGCGTATACGTTTACATTGGTTAATGCATTAGTTAACATAAAACAACATCAAACAGCAAAAAAAAAAATACTTTTTACTTTAACAATTATAAGATTTATTATTGTTAATTTATAATATTCCATATACTAGGGCTGTCAATTTAGACAGAAATTTAATGTGAGTAATAGGGCTATAAAAAATAAAAAATCCCATGGCCCATCCATAAATACCATTTTAAAAGAAATACAAGTTGACTTTTTTTTCTAGCTTTAAGTTGAAAACTTCTAGCCAAGTTTTCTAGCTTTAAATAACAAAATACAGCTGTGTTTGAGGGACAAAAGATCCCAGAGATCTTTGATACCTTGCCAGCTTGGTTTGCAGGTGGGCTTGATGTTGATTTTGACGAGGACGTCCTCAGATGCCCGGTTTTTACCACAGTCGTACGCAGTCACTGTGAGTTTGTACATGCGGTCCTTGCTGTAGTTCAGCTTCTCTGTGTTCTTGATGTTGCCTGTATATAAGGAAAAAAGTGACAAGCAATGACCTCACATGCTAGGTAAGACAAAGCGAAATGATCATGCTTTAATTCTGGGTACATCTCAAGGTGACAGTTGGCTGACATCAGATCCTAAAATGCCTGCTTTGCACAAATCAAATGTTTAGGCACATGAATAACAATGACTTAGAAGTCAATATCACTGTAAGGTCTATAAGCTGGAGTTTTGGCAGGAGATTTGGACTGGCAGCACTTACCATCCTTGTCAATAGAAAAGGGCACATCGGGGGTGACAATTTCATAGCTGCAGATCTGACTGAACTGGAAAGAGCAGTCAGCATCCACGGCCTCCACCTTCAGGATGCTGTCGTACTTTTTGCCCTCGATCACTGTGGTTTTGTAGGACTTCTCTTTGAACACCGGAGAGTACTCGTTTACGTCATTCACTCGGATGTGGACGGTAGCCCTGGGGGACATCAAAGCGTGATTAATAAACTAGAATCTAGAAGCAGATGGACGATTCATTTAGGAATGATCTGATGGGATGCAGTCATCCACAGTGTTGTAATATCACAAACATGATATCCTAAGAATGTGACATTTTAAATGGGGTCTCTGACTACTGAAAGCCAAAAGTAAAAAGCAAATTAAATTAAAAGCAAGATTAAAATAAAACGCATGGGTCTAATGCATTCTAGGTAAGTGCTAGATCTAAAGACAAATAAATAAACAGTTTCTAGCCTTTAATTAATTTGGGGAAAAAAATGATTCACTCATTTTGATTAATTGTTTAATTTATCAGAGCTGAATTTTATTAATATTAAGTTGTTGTGTATGGCAAATCTTGTAGGCAACTAATGTAAAAATTTACTTATAGCTGACTTACCCATAGTGTTTTGATTTATGAAAATTCATTAATTATTTGTTCGTTTTCATATCGATAATTATATATATATATATATATATATATATATATATATATTAATACTTTTATTCAGCAAGGATGCATTAAATGTATTAAAAGTGACAGTAAAGACATTTATAATGCTACAAAATATTTCAGAAATGCTGTTTTTATTCTTCAAAAAAATCCACAAACATATTAAGCAGCACAACTGTTTTAAAGCACTAAATCATCATATTAGAAGATTTCTGAAGGATCATGTGACACTAAATACTAGAATAATGATGCTGAAAATTCAGCTTTGCAACAGGAATAAACTACATGTTAACAAATAGAAAACAGTTATTTTAAATTATAATAATATATCACAATATTACTGTTTTACTGTATATTTCATCAAATAACGGCAGCCTTGGTGAGCAAAATAGAATCAAAAGCATTAAATAAATCCCATTCGTAACTTTGGAAAAGTAGTGTAAGCTTAGTGGTTAGAATACGTTTAGACACGTTGAAACAACTAAGAATCTTATGTGGAACATTCTGACTCAATTCTGGCTCATTCCCCCATCATTTCCTGTACTCTCCATTTTATTAATGCGTGTAACCAAACAATACACGCACTTGTGAGATTTCTTCATGTTATCGCCCTCAGGTCCCTCTCCACAGTCGTAGGCCTGGATGGTGAAGGTGTGCTCCTTTTGTAGCTCACAATCCAGTTTATCCTTGGCCCGGATCACGCCCTCTCCGGTGGATTTATCCAACACCACTGCCTCGAACGGCACGTTCTGCCCGTGAATCCTGAAGCCGCAGATCTCCCCTGCAAAGGGCACACGTGTGTTTAGTCAAACCCACCCGTGAGCCGAAGCGCCAGCTGCCGTTCATGAGATAAAAGAAACCCACAACGAAACTAATAACACGCCACACTCAAATAAGAACAGCCAAAGTTGGTTTGGCAGCCAAAGGGATCTAAACACTGAGGGGAGGTGGGAGGTGAAGGTGTCTGTGGAGGAAGCCAGAAGCACTGTGGGATGGGGTGAGTTTTTAGGAAGTGGAAGGGAGAGTTAAAAGGTGTCTGGTCCAAGCCATTTGATCACATTGCATCCAGTCATGCAGTAAGAAACCCAGAATGTGGACAGGCATTTCACAGGAATACTTAAATACAAGGACAGGAAGGAAATGATATGAACCAATAAACAGATATCGGTTGTATTTAATACATTCAAATAACATAACATATATTTTTTTTAAAGTACTTAAAAGGTGTTTAACGCTAATTTTTGGTTAAAAGTATCACATTTAAACAAGAAAGCAAGGTTAAAATGTTAAGTTAATCATGGGGCGATGAGGAGGATTTATGACAGATCCAGCATTCGATCAGAAGTTCACAAATATACAAACAAACAAACAAAAGAGCCCTCGTTTGGAGTTTAAATTCCCCTTAAAACTAGATTTTGGTGAGAAGGAAGTCTTCCTGTGCAATGTTGTCTCTCTCAAACCTTTAAAAAAAACTGAAAGAATGAAACAATAAAATAAAGAGAGTAGCAGAGGCAGTGAAACTTAAAGGCTGGATGAGAGCTGGGGTTAGAAATATCCATTTGCTTGACATCCACATCAACCAGCAGAAGTTGCCATGCTGTGTATTTCAGATTAGTGGAGGAGAGGGTGAAGAGGCTCAAACTAGAGGTCAAACCACACCACAGACCGGACAGCAGAGAGTTTGCATCTTTTAACAATCTCAGCAGGAACTAACCTGTATAGCATCAGTCTCTTTGATTTATGATCTGTTAGTGAACCCTTAAAAGCTACTTTACAAACAGGATATCTAAAAAAAAACACACACTTTTAAGACGTTCGGATTGGCGTTCCCCCCGAGAATCTGGTGTACGAGCATTATTTTCCTTTATTTATTCTGTTTTGGAGCTGAAGCACTGTTAGGATCTGCAAACTTCAATGGATGTCTCATGCATAGATATTTCTAGATTTTGTTATCCCCGCATCACACTTGTCATCCAGTTGCTAAATTTTCATTTCCAACAAATTCAAAGGTGAGAGAAAACTGGAAAACAAAATCAAAAGAAGAAGAACTGGGAAGAGATTAAAAGAGCATGACAGGAGTTCCGTGTGAAGTGCCGATTTATTTTTGTATTTGCGTTAGTGGGTTAATAAAACGGATTACAAGGCAGTAGAAAGAGCCCGTCATCACCTTCTTTGGTGAAGGTCACCTCAAAACTTTCTACAAGAAGGGAGAAAAGATAAACCCAGGTCAGTCAGAGAAAGAATGAGATGCACAGAAACACAGAGACAAGAAAAAGAATACAGATGTTACAGAAGCAGTCGAGGACTCAAAATACCTCATTTGACTTTTCGCGCTGGTACAGATTAGGGCTGGGCGACATCTAGGCCTATCGAATATTTATGATCATTTTGCTAGGATATCAAATTAAACATCACTGGAATATATAAATAATTACTTGGCTATTAAGTTTCCTGAAGAGCGTCGTAACCTCTATATGAGAGCATTAGGACAGATATGGTTTAATAACGTCTCTGATTTTAAACTGAAATGGCATTCGAGTTGGTATTCATGTTCATGAATCAGTTCAAACTGTCCATTTCAGTGAATTGATTCAAAACTCAGATTCATCAATGCATCTGCATCATCATTTAAAAAATTTAAAAGATATATGTAAGTAAATAATACTGCTGATTATTTTTTCCCCAGAGGAACCATAATACCAACTAAATAAATTAAAAAATGTTAATCCAAGAGGTCTAAAATCAAGTTTATTAAATAATTTAAAGATAAAGTAAAAGGGGGACAACATTTGTACCAAACCTGGTGGTATTCTGAGTCCTAGTATGACTGTATACAGCACAAAACAATATACTTGGATGAGTCCACATTAACAGTCACAGAAACACAAAAAACAGCCTTGACCACAGGTGGAAATAGCCATAGAGTCCCTGTTAGGGTTAAAACCATGAATGATTCAACCGTATGAAAGAATAAGGGTTAGCCAGAAACTCTCCTTATGGTACTATCATTTATCATCACCTGACCAGCACTAAAATTAGCCAACTTTATTAAAAAAAAGTGTATGGTTGTTGTTTTTTTATGCTTGGTTGACCGCTAAGGGTCCAGTTTGACCCTATCGGTGGCCTCTGCTGGTGGACCCGTCCACCCCATTTTTACCCCTACAATTAGAGATAGATTTTCCATTAGGATCTGCTGTTCAGAGCAAGTCATGCGGTGGAAACTTTGTGCCTCATCAGTGCATTCTGGGGCTTTAATGACTGTACATCCCCACACTTCCCCTAAAACCCAGACTGGCGCTTCAGCCCACGTGACAAGTGCCAACTTCAATAGTCCTCCATTTCCCAACGAGCAAAACACATGAATATTGATTCATTCCCTCTGTGCAATATTGCACAGAGGAATCGATGAAGATGTAACAAGAGCTGAGACGTGAGAAACAAGACTAGTGCAGGGGCGTAATTGTTTATTTGATTAGCTTCTGCTTCATTACTGTCTAAGCATTTTAGCAGTTTGAAAAAGTTTTAGCAGTCTGAAAAAGCTTACAAGTCAGAGCAAATATTGAAATTGACAGCTAACCGGCACTGAATAGTCCTCCACTGATAGGAATGTAAGAGCTCTCGATTGAGTACGTCATGTCTGCAGTGGAATTCGATGCTGGTTTATAAAAAGCCAGCAGAACATCAATCATGATGCTGCATGGCTGCCCTTAATGGGATTGAAGCAATTTTTAATTTAAACTAAATAAATCGAATTGTTTGACAAAAATTCCCCAGATATTTGAAATGTTGGGGGCAAAATGCTTCTGCTATGAATGCCCTCTACATAGTAGCCTATTTTGGTGCCACAAAATGTTCTACCACAGGAATAATTAGTATTTAAAATCATATCTTTATTATATCTTTAACACACGGAGATACAATGTATTGTATCTCTATATATGTAAAATATAAAAATATTCCAGACTACAACACATTAAAAGCATAACATTAACATTAAATACCATAATGTCATACAGTATTTCTAGAACTTTAGTAACTCCATGGTCATTTTTATAGTGGTGGCACTTTACTGTATGTATTGAAAAGCTTGTTATTACCGTTGTTTATAATTACAGTTTAATTTGACACTTCAGTTTATATTAAGCTATTCAATCAATGTTTAACCTTTAATGTTCACATATCACTTTCACGTTGCGCTTGTGTCGAATTCAAATGAGTCAAATGACTTGCGCTGGTTTTCGCTTCAATAGAGCGGCGAAAGCATCAAGTTCGTCAGTGTTTCAACTGCTGAATGCTCGCGCGGTTTAATCAAGTAGCTGTTGCTTAGTTTGTCTTTTGGTCTTTCCCCAAGTGCTCCACTAAATAACAGCGCTTAATATGTGGGGGCGCAGTGGGGTTTTCCCGATCGGCCCACCGGGAAAAGTTCAGGTGCTCCCGATGGCCAGTCAATCTACTCACAGCCAATCACGGGCCCCCTACTTGCTCAGGCCCTGGGGCTTCAGCCTCGCCTAGCCCTTTTGTTAATGAGGCCCTGGTCACAACAGTTCTGTATGGCTTTTGGCAAGCTTCCTGATCAGAGTAAAGTGAGTTAGTCAGCATGGCACCATGTCCTGAGCGGGCCGGTATTGGCAGAGAAGCTAAGAAGAATGCAGCAGTCACCCACACAGCCATGTGACGGCTTCAAAGTGAATTTTAGAGAGCTTCTTAATATAATCAGTCTGCTCTCACTGCTGTATCCAACAAACAAAGCTTGCTGAAATGATTCCTTATGAACTATCAGAGGAATTATATATTTATGAGGTGCTGCGGCATCATGAGGGGGTGATTATCAGTGAATTATAACCTAAACGCATTGATGTATACAAATAACTCAAGGTAAACCACATTAGTGCATGTGGACCAATCTTTCTCCCAAATGTCTGCTGCTAGTTTGCTAGCCGTGTCCCATATTCACGGGGGCACCAGGAGACTACCAAGGACTGGTACTAAAACTGTGAGAAAGGAGGGAGTGCACTTACAATGGAACACTGCATAATGAGATTTGAAATGAGGTCAAAGTAAATCTCTAAGTGATTAAAAATGTCCAGAGCCAACACTGCACATTCCCTCACACAGGAAAAGGGCAGAGTATGAAGAATTTTCATTGATCTTGATATCAGAAGAGCTCTAGAAGTCTGGCAACCATCTGCCCGGCAAACGAGAGAAGCAATTTAAAAAGTGATGGATTTATGGACTGCCTATCTTCATCTGTACTGATTAAATATGAGCGTATTAATCCAACATGCTGAAAAATACTTTAATTGGCTCTCCAAACTGACTATCTGCAATAGGTGGAGAAATGATAAGGGAAAAGCGCACCACCAACATCTATCTTAACTCGCTTCTGGATTCTGTAGAGATTAATAGAACCCGATGTTTTAGATCTTTAGTTTTGCCCTACTATATCCACTGCTAAATGTCTAGAGACATGAGCAAATATAAAGGTAAGAAGCATAGAGCAGTAAAGTATAGAGAAACAAACAGCCCCATTAACCTAGAGCATTAGAGTCTGCAAGAATCTACAAACCTAATTACCAACAAGACCTGACTTCACCAATCACATCAGTACAGTTCAACAGCAGGCTGATGATATTAGGTCTTTTATTCAAAACGTAATTATGGTTTGTTATAGAGCTATTTTAAGGTTTATCACATTTTAGTAAAGATAATTGACAATAAGGGAGTAGGAAAGCTTATACATTACCAAACCAAAAAAAAACAAGAGCCTGAGAAAAATGATTCAAAACCAATTCACAAAAAAAAAAAAACTTTAATTATGGTTCCTAGCTGACTAAATATTCAAAAGGATAAAGGTATTAGGATAAAGTATTTCATTATAAAGCACCACACAAATCAGGTCCATGGTCATCACTGCAACAAAATGCTTATGATGAAAATGAAAATTCTGTCAATATTAGTCATCCTCATGTTGTTCTAAACTTGTTTCTTCCGTGCAAAAGGTGAATTTTAGTGGTTATAAAAGTGGTGGCATTAAAAGCATCACATAAGGTTTAAAGTCCCTGTAAAGGCAATTTCAAAAAAAAATTCTAAACACATTATAAATGTTAGAAATGTGTTGCTAAAACATATTACAAAGACTGTGAACTGTGAGGTACTGATTTGTGGAGTTAGACCGTTAAACAGTTTTTCACCATTGCTATTTTCCGGATTTTCTGGGCGGGGCTAAAACAGGGCTCGATGACGCACTGGAGCCCTTGAGCTCCTGGACACGCCCCTACTTGATGACGCACTGTAGCCGCTGAGGCTGGCCGCTCCTAACAATATAGAGCACATTCACATCAGTTTGCCGCTCAATCGCGAGTTACTGTCAGCACTATTATTAGTAACACAGCCTACAGATTGCTAGCTAGCTATGCCTTCGACACGGAAATGCGTAGGCCTACTACCTGGATGCGATCACCGGATCACGTACAAAACAGATCGGTGTCCTTATTTAAATTTCCGAAAAACGATTACATCAAGAAGAAGTGGATTAATTTTGTGAAGAGCCACCTTGATGGAGAGCTGAGGATCACCGCCAACACCCGCCTCTGTAAGTGATCATTTTACACGGGATAGTTTTATAAACTTTCGTCGGAGATAACTGTCAGGGATTCACTGATAATCCGCTGTTACTGGTGAATGGGGCCGAACCGACTCCCGCCTGGCCTTCATCCTCCCGTCGCGCCGACAACTGGTGTCATCGGCAGTGCGTGCCCACTGCCCACCGTGCAAGCATCTATTCCGGCTGTAGAGTTGAGTGTGGCGAGTCGACGGCAGCTTTCCCGCGAGTGGGCGTGGTTTCAGCGCAGCCAGTGGACACGCCTCCAGCGTTTGAGAGCAGAGAATACTGCTCATTTCTTCAAGATTTTGATAGCTTATTTTATGTACTTGCTGGCTTTTTTTATCATTCAAATTTGGCTGGGTGACTAATAACTAATTTTTCTGTGGTGTGACAAACTCAAAACACATACTTAATTTTGACTTTACAGGGACTTTAATGTCAATGATGATGTTTGGTCACATGACACATAAGAACCAATGGTGTTTCAAATCAATGGTCAAAAATCTACTAGAGCTCATTTTAGTTGTGTGTTTCTGTCATTTTTATTTATAGAACTTTATTAGTGGTAAAATTGTTGGTCATGATGGAAATGACGCCACAACTATTATTTATGCCATTTTTAAAGTTTTTTAAAAATATATGTCTATACAGTTTTTATTAAGTTTTGTTTTTAGCTTTAGTTTATGTAATTTTAGTTATTTTAGTACTTCAACTTAAACTAAACTTGTCAGCTGAAACAAAACTTTTAGTTTTATATTTCATTTTATGTCAGTTATGTTTAAAAATAAATCCCTTTTTATGGAAGAAATGATGACAGAACTTAAATTTCTTTTGGTAGGTAAACTATCCTTTGGAAAGCATGAGGAAGGAAAATGGCTGACAGCCTCATCTGAGACCAGAAGATGGAGGATCTTACCTGCATAGCGCAACGGGGCATCTTTATCCAAGGCTATCAGCGGAGGGTCCAGGAGAACCTTGTCGTCATTTTCCGTTACGATACCATGATACGTGGTCTCAATCCATGGCTTGTGCTTATTTACTGTGGGAGGAAAAAAGAAACAGGAAGTTAGAAGTTTATTTTGTTGCTGAATAAAAACAAACCCAGACACCAACCAATTATTTTAGTTTTCTGTGAGGATGGACAGTGTGTCAGCACAACTGTATGCTAGCTTTAAGGCAGAGCGCAAAATCCCACAATGACATAGCGCAGCGGTAGTGAGCAGTGGCATTTGTCGCCTCTGTTTGTTCGGGCTGAGAGAGCGCAGAAGCTCAGCAGCTCATTAGTGTTGACTGAAGGCTTTGAGCTCTGAAAGCAGAGAGGACAGATGCGGTGTGTTTTAGCTTTAGACTGCAGCAGTGGCAGCGCTGTCTGGACGCAGAGGTTGATGTGAAGGGCAGATTGCTCACTTCAACGGCTAATCAGTGCCTGCATCCGAAATGTGAGCACATCAGCAGTTGCTGGGAGAAAGAGGATACTCCTGCAGTGCTGATCTCATTGTGTGTGGACCTGACAGCGAGGCCGCAGGGAAAGGAAATGAGCTCAGCAGACTGATGCCGTCAATAGGGTCCATCTCATGGCAGTATGACTGAATCAGCTGTTAAGAAACATGCCTTTCAAAACGAAGCTAAAAGCCATAGCTCTTCAGTGAACACCTAACTAACCCTAAATCATAATTATAAAATAGATAGTTATGGTACTGAATAATTATAACTGGACAATACAGAATTTAAAATGAGCATTGCTTATTTTTCATGTCAGGGACTATATCTCCTTATGGAGGAATCGGTTTGCTTAAAGAAATAGGAATTCACACCAAAAATAGTAACATTTTAGTAATTTTCTCATGTTGCTCTGAACAATTTTTTTTAATAGATGCATTAAAATTATGACATTACAATGTTACACTAGTTTTGTCTAAATAAATGAAAAATGTAACGCTGAACACTAAAATCAATTTTTTAAATGCTAAGAAATTATCAAGTATGCATCACAATATGAAATAAAATAATATAATATAAAAATAATTAAATATTTATATGTGTATTATTATTTATATTGTGTGTGTGTGTTATAATATGTACATGTATTATAATATATAGAGTATAATATATAATATATAGTGTGCATTTATAATAATATTTTTTCTTTCTGGAAAACCAAAAAGGAGAAGTATGAAACAGGGCAGACTTTAAGAGAGTGGATATTATGTTAATCCTTCTTGTAATCTAATTTTGTGTTTTAGAGTAAAAGATGCCAGAACTACTTTAATACAGTAATGCATTCATGAAAATTGTGTACTTAAGATTTTTATTATGTAGCCTAATTTATAAATTCTATACAATGGCACTGCTCATATTGTTAGCTCTTTCATGGAAATGTGTTTCTCTTCATTTGTAAATCATTTTGGATGAAAACCACCTGCTAAATGAATAAATGCATAAGAAAATATGCCTTGACTGAAAAAAAAAAAAGTAAATGGCTTTTACGTCACCTCATCGCTCAAGCCAACACATTAAAAAACAAAAGTCTATGACTCTTGTGCATGTAAACTCTTCAACATCCACAGTGCTAACAGCTCCCATCCCTTATACTGTACAATGTAGAAAAAATCTGCTCCTTGTGCAGCTGCTGGAGCGAATACGGATGATTTATTGGCTTCACTACGGTTTCTCTGCACCGGTGTCTTACGACTCACCCCGCAGGCAGAAAAGCCTGATCACTGACACTAATTGAAGGATATAACCTCCACAGCAATAACACCATAATGCTCACCTCCGTTCACATTACACGCCTCATCCAATTTCACACCTTCAGGAAAATAGTATGCTTGACAGAACTGTCGCTTCATTTTCATGTTTCTTTACCCTGTTCATTTTCTGCCGCGATACATTTGTGATTTAAAACTGCATGGTTCAGGAACCAACGATTGTAGTACATGTCTATCAATGCTACAAACACGTGATTCGAATACTGCATGTATTCAGTGCAAAGAGAGCTGGGACAGGACTTGGTATGGTGGTCTGTGAAAATTGTGATCTGGTTCATAAATCGTCTTAGCAAAGTGGATTCACGTGACCCAAGAGTGCTGCTGCCTCTGCTTGTTGTCTCTGGACAGATTGTCAGACCAGACTACCCCGGTAATCTGCTTTAAAATCCCAGGTTTATAAAACCTTAAGAGCCGAGGTAAGTCACATGCTCAAAGGGCAAGCTGGGACATAATGCTAGCCTACTAATAACGGAAAAACAGGCCGAGAACATATTATCATACATTGTTTACGGTTATTTTCGTCAGCGGTATGACTACATTTATTTGACAGAATCATAACATTTATTTGAATTAATTAGCCTATCGAGAGAGAGGGGAAGAGAAAGAAAGAGAGAGAGAAAGATCCTCTAGCAATGAAGCGGTGAGTTTAATTACGTTAAAAACAGCGACGTCATCACCTTGCTGAGTAATATAATGTAGCAATTCAGTAGCGAAGCTTATTTATCATTAATAAAATTTGCAGGGCAACGCTGACAACAAGTTTCTGTGTGAGCAGCGTGATCTCCGATCTCTGTGAGCAAGTGACGTATGAGTGTGTGTGTTTCAATGAAAGCAGCACATTAATATAGAACAGTAATTAAACTGACTTGGAACTACCTGCGCATTAAACGGTTTTGCACATCAGAATATAATATTCAGAGACAGACTATGGTATAAAACTAAAAATCTGCATATTTTAATGACTTCTGAAGAATCGTGACACTGAAGAGTAATGGCTGTTGGAAATGCAGTTTTTGCCGTTACAGGAACAAACTACATTTTAAAAAATATATCACAATAGAAAACTTTGCAATTCACAATATTAATGTTTTTACTGTATTTTTTACAGCATTTTTGATCAAATAAATGCAGCATTGGTGAACATAAAATGTATTTGCACATATATTGAAATAGAGCATGAAGAATCTTCAAATAGAAACACCAAAATGTGAATACAATTTTTTTTTTAAATGTATACACTTAGGCAAGTCACCATATAGCCTACATTTGGAGATTGGTCAAAAAAGCATTTTATTCTGGCCATTCTGAAATGCTGAAGGCAAACCTGTCATCTATGACAGCTAGCAAAAGTGCAAGTACTTTATTACATTTGAGAAATGAGCCACTGAGACCTAGTAAGTGACTACAACTTCCATTTCTATTTTGCGCCAGTTTTCCTGGAAGTGATGATTTTGTTCTCTTAAACATAGTCTTATTCACAAATCGTTTTCTCCAATAATTACTTTTTTGGAAAAAATTTAATTTGCAAATTGGTTATTATATTATATTGTGGTCCCTAGATACGGCTTGGGTTCCTCAGTTCAACCGCTTAGATTTGAACAATTTGAAAACGCCTTAAAAAGCCCTGCTAAGTAATAGAAAGTAAATAAAAGCAGCAACGTAGGACATTTGTAGCTGAGTGAGGTTAAGCTGGGTTTACACTGACAAAGAACTGTTTGTACTCACTACTCACAAACCCTTCTGCCATGGAACAAACAATCTGATAACATGTTTATCATCACATATTAACATAAAAAGAGATACTCCTCCTCACTAAGAACCTGTTCACAAACCAAGTGTGAATTATAAAGATGCTCTATGGACACCTAGACAATTTAATGAATGAGTCTTTATTTTGGAACATCTCAATAAGGGTCCTTGATACCTCTTGGAGCGCATTCAGTCATGGCAATGATCCCAGCTAGAGAAAACCACTAAACACAGCAGCCAAACACCTGCTAAACACTGGCGACACTCCCACACACACACTCAAATAACATATGGTACACATATCACTCCTTCTCTTACCAAAAACACATTTGCCAATCAAACTGCAATTATTTTCTTCTTTAAACTTCCTTAAAGCCCTTAATGATCCATTAAAAACAGCTTATGTTTGAAAAGCCCACACTGACGTCTGGTGTGCAATAAACTAAACTAAACGAGGAGCCATCAAAGAGGAAGGGCTGGTCAGGCCGGCGGAGAATGAATCCGATTACTGAACGAGCTCTGATGTGGTTGATATCGTTTCCAAGCGCCCTGCAGCTCTGGCACAAGGCAACCGTTTGGGACGGCAGGAAGCAGTTGGCGTTTTTTTTACATCCATTTTGCATAGAAACACTTTAGATCCTTGCGCAGCAACAACACAAAGCAACTGTGACAACAAACGCCTTATATAACGGGGAGAATTGGTTGATAAATAGGCCACAAATGATGACAACACACCAAAAATATAATTTCATAATGACAACAGTCAGAGAGTAGAGAAGTAGAGTGTCGAGACAAGTGGTTAAAGGCTACAGATGGCTATAGATGGAAACACACTCAGTTTTGTCGATGTTTGAAGAGGATGTTCACTCAGGCAGCATAGTGTTTTATACATGAAAGCCATGCAAATCAATGTTATGTAACTGGTGCATTAGAGCAGCACTGACACTTGAGCACAGTGGAGTAAATATGTGCGCAGAGATCACAGTTCAATACATTTTCATTCAGGCTGATACATCAGAGTAATGTTTATTTGAAGTCTGAAGCCCATAGCAGACTGGAACAGAAAGGAAAGAACAATAAGCTTATATAATATAATATAATATAATATAATATAATATAATATAATATAATAATTGTCAAAGTTAACAATAACACCAATAATAATAACAACAGTAATAATAATAATTGCAATGTGTATTTATTAAATTTCATTTCACACATCAACACTGACATATAATATAATATTATAACAATATAATATTAATTATATTATAAATAATTATATACATATATTTATATATTATATTATGTTATATTATATATTATATTATATTATTATTCCATTGGGTGACAATGGAATTGTATCAGAGAAATTCCACCCTTCACCTTTAACAGAAAATATCATTAGAGAAAGAGCACCTACTTTTCACAAATGCAGAGAACAATATTTGTATTTGACATGCACAAACCGTTTGCCACCATCCATTCTCCAGATTACAGTCTTTTGGATAATATCCGCAAA